CCTGGTTCCGTTGTTCCTGACAACAACCTAGCATTTTTTTTTAAACGCAAATAATGATAGAAAATCTGCATCTTCAGGTTGACTTTAAGTGTGGCTAAAGGAGTCCAAGAAAAGCACACCAGCTGTGGTCAATGATATCTGACAAGCCTGTGACAGGGTCAACAAAAAGGCTCACGTGTTGGAATTGGGAACAAGAGGAGAAATGGCCGTTAACAGAGACCCCAATGTCTACACTGTGTACAGGCACATTTTCACACACAAACGAACGCTCGCATGACTCCCAAAGGCTCTTCATTTAATTGTATCAACTTCATCAATATTTGACCAGACATTTACTAATTACTAACTTACTCATATAAGAATGGATATAGCATCAATTGGGGTGAGGAGAAGAGTTGTTAAGAGTTTTAAAGTTCTAATCCTGATATATGAAAGTGAATCATGGACAATTTGACTAGTTAAAAAAATAAGCGGATGCAAGCAGAGATGTGGTTTTATAGACAAATAATGAAAACTTGACCAATAGATTAAATAAAATATAGTAATGAAGATTTTTGAAAGAAATCAAAACCGAAAGAGAATTGATTACTAACATCAGAAGGAGACTTTATTATTTGGTCATGTCACAAGAAGCAAACGTGATAGCAGGACAATTAGTGGGAACAGGAGACAAAGGGAAAGCGAGAGAGAAGATGCTGGACTGTTTGAGAACATGACATGTAAAATTATATGTGTCAGAAATTACTGATAGTAACGAGACAGAAAGTTTTGAATAGACATTACTACTGCCACATGCATTGGACTATTGCAAGAAGATTATAGCATATTTGGCATTCCCACAGATACTCCAGCATCAAATGTCTGAGTGTATCAAAGTGGCAGGTTAAAACGGATTTCATTATTTGAGCCACTGATAAACAGTTCAGATTAAAAGAGCACTCCTTACAATCTCAGCATTTTGTGAAACTGTAGACACTAACAATCAGTATTATGAAAACTATGTAGAATTTTCTCTTATTGTTATAAATCAGCAAAGAAAACCATACAAACATGAAGTGTCATGGAGAGATAATTAACAAAGAGCGCTTACAAGTCTGTACAAGAGTAAAACTGTACAACTCTGCTAGCATCACCTGTGAAGTCAAGTATGAATTACAACCCCATCTTCTATGGTCGAGGTGAGCATTAGCACCTTCTCAAAGCCAGGATCTCAGATTTATTTTTGGACGAATAGGTGTTCTCGTTGCTGCATGCGAAATAGTTATCAACAGAGAGCACAAGACATCAGATGGGAAGACAGCACTAGTGAAGCTGAAAAAAAGGAGACTTAGAGAAAGGTCATCCAAAGTAATAAGGGATATCTGAAAACAAACATGAAGACTGAAGCAGCAATCTCTCTTAGATTTGGTTAAAGAATAAACTGACAAGCACTACATTCTGTAAAAAAAGAGGCCAGAAAGCAAAATGTTAAAAACGTACTCAGTCTCACACAATGACTCTTCCATTCTTAGTCATCTTTAATAAAGCATACTCATGCTTGCTCCGTCCTCATCTTTCTCAGTCTATCTTTAGAGTCTGTTACAATTATGACATGTGTATGCAGCTTGTTCTCTAGCCACCGGAGAGCTGCAGTTACCGCCTCCACCTCCATTCTCATGCTAGATGTTATGGTGTCTAGCAGTAAAGATTTTCCATTGGTTTTCGTTACGAACCCTGAGGCACTTATCTTTCCTCTCAACACCTAACCATCTGTATAGATAATCAGACCACCTAGGCGTGAATTGTCGTAAATCAACTGTTAGAATTCCACCTCCGTAGCACCCGCTGGCCACTCTCTGCATTCGGGGCCCAATGTGATAATAACCCTACACACGTCAGACTTTTCCTCTGGTTCTATGACCCACCTCTCCTCGCCCAATGTTCTCCGCATGCATACTTGTCTTATTGTGTCTTTTGCTTGAGCCATCCATGATTTCCCCCTTTTCAGTCTCTGATTCTTACCTGCAGCCAAAGCTTCATACGGAGGGTATTCTTTGCAGCTTCTCTGAGGTATGACTTAGCCTGCAGCACCTTTAGCCTATCTGAAATAGTCGGCAATGCAAGGATGTATCGCATGCACACAATCGGGGTGTCTCTTGTACATCCCAGAATCACCCGTATAGCTTCATTCTGTGTGCGCTCTAATTTCTATAGCTGACTCTTTGAGACAGTGAGTAACCCCAATCCATAATCAATAACTGGGATGATTAAGTGCTGGCAAAGTATGGATAGCATTTTCTGCTCCATGTCCATCGCTGCCATAGTCTTGAGTGCATTAAGACCTTTTTAAGCCTTTGTCCTAAAACCTTCCCTAAATGCTTTAAAAGTAGTTTCGAACATTAGAAACGAATACAGCGCCATTTGCGAAACAGTATTTACGGGACACACGATTGATGCTGACAGTGTTGTTTAGGCAAATCCAATTTCTCAGTCAACACTCACAGCGTTGCTCAGGCCTTAAAAAGTTAATGTAAACATCCCACTCCCAGATCTGCTTATGTTGATGAACTGTATATTTTTCTATGTGATCCTTCAAAGACAAACTTCTGTCAAGGGTGACACAAAGGTACCACAGTCTGTTGTCTCTTTTAATGTCCCTGCCATTTATTTTGAGTCTGGGAACATCCGCTTTAACAATCCTGTTGTCCAAAGAATACAACAGGATGGTTGCCTTTTCTGGGTTTATTACAGCACTCATCTCTGTACACCAGTTGAACTCCTTATCTACGTTGTGGGGAAAAATATACAGTTCATCAACATAAGCAGATCTGTTCTGGGAGTGGGATATTTACATTAACTTTTTAAGGCCTGAGCAACGCCGCGAGTGTTGACTGAGAAGTTCCGATTTGCCTAAACAACACTGTCAGCATCGATCGTGTGTCCCGTAAATACTGTTTCGCAAATTGCGCCGTATTCGTTTTCTTATGTTCGAAACTACTTTTAAAGCATTTAGGGAAGGTTTCTCGGGTTCCAAGATACGTGCCGGCAGATTGTTCTGATTCGTAGCTAGCATTATTTTCAACAGTGCATTTTCTAAGTTCATTTTCTAGTGCCATGGAAAACAACCTTCTAACAGGTCACAGAATGCGTCTTTCTGTAGCCGAAGCTCTGAAATTGTTTCAGCTGGATGTTTTTTATTCTGATAACGATAATTAAAATTAAGATTTTTCGGAAAGTGATTTGGTCGATGAATTTATGTTAGCGACAGCTGAGCGATCAGCTGTTTGGGAATTTAGCAGTTCTGATGAGTCTGACACAGACAATGTTCCATTGCTACCGCATTTAGGGTATAAGAGACGGAAAGTGTTCCAAGCAAATAGATACTACTATACTATGGCCAAAACTACATTTAAATTATTGCAGCTACAGTCTGCATATAACTGCACAAAGTAAATATTGTGCGTGTAATGGTCCATTTTTCTGTAATTTTTTTCTGTGAAATTTTGTTCAGCATTCTCTTGAAACTTAGAGCTCCTGAGTGCTAACTAACCCAGAAACTTATAACTTTGGAATTTTTAAGGAAAATGAACACACTTTAAAGTGCTTTTCTCAAATTTGGATATTCACTGCTCTTGTGGCTGGACAACCATGGTAAGTGAAGAATTTTTTTGTAAAATTTTGTTGTTAAGAAATTAATCAACACCTGCGGAATTCTTCTTTCCTACTAACTATAGGAGTATTAAACATACACTTATCATCATATTCAAAATGTACATTCATTTCTCTTTATAAAATATATACTTTTGTAGGGATTAGAAGTACATTACATTCTCTATTGCCTTTTTTTTTTGTACACCACCCCTTCTGCCATTTTTGTAAAGGGAAATTAATGTGGGTCAAGTCTGTCAAAATTCATCAACCTGTAAGAGGTTAATGGAACAATACTGCCAATCAGGGTTGCCATATTGACATTTTTTATGCCAGATTCCACAAATTTGGCATATCTGAAATTGAACTGGCATAAGATAATGAACTGGCATATTTTGACATATTTGGGTTTTTCTGGCTTTTTTTATCAAGATGTGCTCACATTTTCTTCATGGTTCCTCCATTAGAAACACAAAGATTTACTAAAAGCAATGTAGACCTACAGATAACATCTTTATTTCAGTTTGACTTTGTTGTGATGTCCTGCTCCGGACTAACGGAGATTTGGGCCATTTCTTATTGTATTTGTTGTCTTACTAAACGGATCGTGACTTTGATAAACGAATGCCCTCTGTAATTTATTTAAGTCTACTGTGTCAGTGCACTGTTGCACCAAGAATTAGTAACGTATCAAATCATGAAAAATCCGAAAAACACAGGATGAAAACTCCGTCAAAAAGCCAGTCACAGCTTATTACAACAAAGACTCTTAGGCAAAGTAATGATAAAGTTAAAGGCAGCAGAGTTGCAACTTGCTGTCGGCATGACCTGCCATTGTGCAATACGCACAATTGATCATCTAAGTGAAAGCATGAGAGCGCATGGTCGGGGCGCAAATACAGTTGCACAGAACTTAATGTTCATGCCCAATAAAAAATACGATATCGCCTGCACTTAAGGATGACCTTGTTCATGATTTTCGGAACAAGAAATATGCCATCATTATAGACGAGTTGCAAAGACTTACCCCATCTGAGAAAATGCTCAAAGATTTTACATTCAAAAAGGTTTACGCTGTGTCTTCTTCTTTTGTACAGTAAGGTTGACAGTGAAGAATTCAATCTAGAGCTTTTGATGTGAAGTGAGTACAATTTTACACTTTATTTGGCATTTTCTGGCATATTTTGGGTAAGGGTTTGGCATAAAATGAAGTTTTTATCTGGCAACCCTGCTGCCAATAGTCTATAACAAAATAAATCTTATGGCAGTCTGTCATTTTATAACTCCTTTCATTCTCTAGGTTAGCATTAAAACATGTAAACTAGTTCGCACCACTGACTTTAAAACTTGACAATAACATTCGAACAACTGACCTCAGCTGGACGTACGTATTCCATATGTTCGCTTTCAGCGGCTGTCCCTGCTGTAGCATCTTGTGTAGAAGTTGTAGCTGCGCCTGAAGACGACGGTGTCTTCGATATCGGCAAGTTTATCAGGTCCTTCTTCGGTCGAAAACATGCACCATCGGGTAATTCCTCCGGTTTAAACCTCACTGTTGAATCGACTGCTGAACCCGTCGTAGTGCCGTGTACAGCATCTGCGGAAGACGCAAGTTTGGAAGATTTCCCATCGTCGCTCTCCTTCAACTGCTGAGGTAAGGCTTGCAACACCAGTCGCGCTGAGTCAGACCGCTGGTAACGGTCCCTCTGTCGATTCTTTTCTGCAGATTCATTTGCCTCCTGTGCTTCGAGGTATTTTCTTGTCTTCAAGAAATACATGTTTTCATTCCTGACATGTCACATTATTAGCCTGTTCGCAGCGAAGTTCACCTAGCAACAGTTTCAGCTTGGCACCCCTGGCCATCTCTCTCTCTCTCTCCTCTCTACCAGACGATTAAAAAAAAAACGCGGTTATCATTTCCGGGTCACCGACGTGACCCGTCTATTTGAGAGCAATAAGCAAACAAGTGGAGGAATGTGATGGCACCGGGTGACGCTATCCTATACTTCCACACCTTTCCCGTGTCATTGCCTAATATATCCATATTACTGATTGTACAAAGCATATTGAAATTACCTAAATCTATAGAAATGTGCACACTTTAAAAGAAAAAACAGTATTTGCGTCCGCCTGTCGTGTTTGTTTACAGCTGATGTTGAGTTGAGTCCAGAATTGTAATAACAGCACTCGGGGCATTCCCATGCGTGCTCCGTCATCATCTTCAGCAGCCAGCGCAGAGTTCCAGTACTGATGGTACCGGTCACAATGTGGTTATATGTAGGTCTTGCCTTTCCTCTTGAGTGTAGTGAGCCGGCAAAACCCTCTGGTTACACCCAGGTGCCTCATTCTATCCAGGCCGTAATAATCTTCTTTCTCTACCGATTCCGTTGCTTGTTTCCAAAGGACATTGAACACATATATCTTGTCATGTATCAATTCACCACCCAGGGTGCAGATCCAGCAAATCTATCTGGCTCTTCCTTACCCACCAGGCCAGCATAGCCTGGAGCAAAGATCCAAAGTATGGTCACTACTTGTGACTTTCCCAGTGAAGCTTGCCACTCTGCTCGAAGCATCCCTGTTTTCACCTTTCTCAGCATGCTTTCAGAGTCTGACACAATTACGACATGTGTATGCAGCTTGTTCTCTAGCCACCGGAGAACTGCAGTTATCGCCTCCACATCCATTGTCATGCTAAATGTTGTGATGTCGTATGCTAGGCTGTCTTGCATTACAGATTTTCCATTGGCTTTCGCTACGAACTCCCATTCACTTCTCTTTCCTCTCACCACCGAACCATCTGTATGGATAATCAGATCATCTGGGCGTGAATTGTCGTGAATCAACTGTTGGACTTCCACCTCCGTAGCACCCGCTGGCCACTCTCTGCACTCCCGGCCAAATGTGATCATAACCCTACACAGGTCAGACTTTTCCTCTGGTACTCTGACCCACTTCTCTCATTGCCTAATGTTCTCCAGCATGCATATTTGTATTATTGTGTCTTCTGCTTGAGCCATCCACGATTTCTCCCTTTTTAGCCTCTGACCCTTACCTGCAGCCAAAGCTTCATACAGAGGGTGTTCTCTGCAGCTGCTCTAAGGTATGACTTAGCCTGCAGCATCATTAGTCTATCTGCAATAGTCGGCAATGCAATGTTGTATCGCATGCTCACAATCGGTGTGTCTCCTGTATATCCCATGATCACCCGCGTAGTTTCATTCTGTATGCGCTCCAATTTCTATAGCTGACTCTTCGAGACAGTGAGTAACCCCCATAAGTGCTCCGTCCCCATCTTCAACAGCAAGCGAAGAGTTCCAATTCTGATGGCACCGGTAGCCGCCTGATACCATGGATCAAGAAAAGGAAACACATTTGTTTTTCTCCTTTTTCCTTTACCATGGACCAAGAAAAGGAAAAACGTCGACATTCTAAACGAGCTGAACATCAAGGAGAACTCGCTAATAAACAGCACCCTATCCCGAAAGTTAAAGTATTTTGGCCACATCAAGCGTCGTGCAGTTTGTGTAAGTCGAAGAGGGTCGACCACCGCGGAGATGGATACAGGACATTTAAAGCACATGAGGCCGGAGAGTTGGCTAGGGAAAGGGATGCTTTCAGGCATGTCATGAAGAGAGCAACGTTCTGTAGAGGACTTGCTGATTGATGATAATATATGTGATAGATGTTTATACATATACATATATATCTACATACATTTACACAGTTAAAAATAAATATTAACATCTAATTCACATTCTGGGAGTTCTCACCCCCCTTCGGATCAGAAGGTTGCGGGTTCACGTCCTAACGGAGCCAGACTTTTTTTTTCAAATGACCTTGACTCCCAGCCTTGAGCGGGTACGAGGTGCAGTCCTGAGAAGTAAAGCAGCCGGCGAGACGCTGACCACAGCACCCACCAAGTGTTGATTGGTCTATACACGTCCAGCTATATATAAATAGAGAAGGCCGTGGCTATACAAAGATAGGTCTAGCCCTATATTCCCGATATGCCTAAAGGCGTTGAATAGGGACTTTTACTTTTAATTCACATTCTCGATAAACGTTTATGCTGGTAAAAAGGTGTCACCAGCACACACGAGACTGTTTATTATTCTCTAATTGAGAAGAGAATGTGAGGGAATGGTACTGGCACGGATGATCTGGCATCCTCCTCAGTAGCAGGGTTACCAGATAAAAAACCTCATTTTATGCCAAACCATCACCCAAAATATGCCAGAAAATTGCCAAATAAAGTGTAACATTGCACTCACTTCACATAAAAAGCTCTAGATTGAATTCTTCACTGTCATCCTCACTGGAACAAGTGGAAGATGCAGCATAAACCTTTTCGGATGTAAAATCTTTAAGCATTTTCTCAGATGGAATGAAGTCTTTGCAACATTTCTTTGATATCAATAGTTCTGCTCTAATTCTGACAACTGCATCAAGAAAATCCAGCTGTACTTTGTTTCTTGCTTTTGATTTAGTTGAAGTAACAAGAGAGATTATTCTCTCAACTACAGCATTGCTAACGGGCATTATTAGGCAAGTAAGGGCGAAAGTGGCCGACTCTTTAAATGCCTGGTGTCGAAGTTTGCCTAGCCAAAAATCTTCCGTTTGTAGGTAGTCCATCCTTCTTAAATGTAGCTTCTTCTTTCCAGTTGACAACAATTAGTTTTCTGTACTGTTCTTCTATACTACTGATGTTGTTTTCTGCCAGGTGTAAAAATGGTAGCTCTGAAAACTGTGTCCTTGATATTTGATTTAAAACTGCCAAAGGGCTCAATTTATGACAGATTGTGAAATATATTCTCGGTGGGATGTCTACACGTAATTTGATTGAGAGCTTCCTCTAGCACACACATACATCTTTCTTTAACAATGTTTATTTCTATCTGAGCTTCAGTCCCGTTTTTCTTCTGTAGGAACGCATTACATTCCGTTATGAATTTAATACCGAAGTCAAAGTGATGAATATTTTTTTTCTGCTCAGTGATGTCATAAGTCTGTTCTTAAGACTTTTCTGGTGCATGGACAATTCTTGGTGTAGTTCATAAGGATCAGCTTTTGTTTGTTGGAAAGACTGTTCAGTCTTTCAAATTCTTGTACAATTGGTGTCGCAAACACAAAGTACAAATAATTATTGTGGTCTAACAGCATTTCCTTTAATAATCTTAATTTATATTTTGTGTCAAACGTTGTCTGTGCTAATTCAGCACATGTGAAATAAGCTTTCAATTCTTCCTAGTTCACCAACATATTGAACATAATCTTTCCACGCATAATCCACCTAGTAGATGACAGTTTCTCAAATACAAGAGGAGCAGTTCGTTCTGATTCAAACTCCGTAGATGTGTTCATCTCTCTAAACAGTTCTTTATAGGCTTCTCATCTTAAATCACTATGGCGAAACCACTGAGGTATTTCTGACAGTAAGAAACCAATATTTGATAGCAGCTTGGCAATTGTACTACAAATGCAGAGTGCTAGTGAATGGCAGACACATCTGAGCTGTACACAAATAGGAGACACATCTTTAATTCTGGACCATACAGAATTCTTGCACCCGACCATGTTTGAAGCGGTGGGTTTTCGTTTTATATCTTGCATTTTTTCTACTAAATTACCATAAATTACAGAGGTTTATAGCAGTCACGATCCGTTCAGGAAAACAACAAAACAAAAAAAAAATTGCGCGAATCTCTGTTAGTCCGTACCAGGACATCACAACAAAGACAAACTGAAATAAAGATTTTAACATTGCTTTTAGTAAATTTGCGTGTTTCTAACGGAGGAACCATGAAGAAAATGTGAGCACATCTTGATAAAAAATGCCAGGAAAAACCCAAATATGCCAGAATATGCCAGTTCATTATCTTATGCCAGTTCAATTTCAAATATGCCAGATTTGTGGAATCTGGCATAAAAAATGCCCATATGGCAACCCTGCTCAGTAGCCGCACAAACTTAAAAAAATCGGATCCTGAGTAATCTTGAACATCAGAGGTCATTTTTTACTAAACCCACGGCGTTTAAAAAGAAAATGTTATTGCCTCTACGCTGGAGTTGATACAGGTTCCTCGTACGTCTGTGGGGTGTATCTCTATGCTTCTTTTTGGACGTGGAGTGTACATTTCATTTGAACGAATCAACAGTTGACATCAGTGCACTCTGGACATTCCTACAAGTGTCCCCCCCCCACCTTTTCCTGATGTAGCCAACGAGTAAGTAAAGGCCATTTTCCACGCCTTTACGTGTATTGGGTATATACTGACAGAGCTACATTTTATAGACCAATCAGCACCCAGTACCGCATGCCAGCCACATTTACTTCCCAAAACATTACCTGATTTTATGTTGGGTCGACCTGGCAGTCAAGATCACGTGTAAAACAAAAAATCCACCCAATGCGGTGTGGACCCACGAGATTCAAGCCCGAGATGAGCGCTAGCCGCTGGTAAAGGGTCTCTATGACATGAGTGCCAGTTGCAATCTGATTAAAAGTCCTCCTGTATTTTCCACTCAGCGCTGGCACCCCCCCCCCCCAAGGAGCTTAATCAATAAATGAATCAAGTATTGACATCACTGCACTCGGACACTCCCACACTTGATAGGTCCACTTCTTCAGTAGCCAATGAAGTTACCAGATGCAACCTGATTAAAAGTCCATGTCCATTTCGCCCCCCTCCCCCCAATGCTAAACATCTTCCAGAATCTTTTTTACCTCTGTTCAAGTTAGTTTTCGATCCCAGCTGCGGACCATGCGTCTTGCGTTGGTTTCGACAGTGGTATCAAGAGAGCCGACCGTTCAGTGATGTTGGGGTTGGTTCTGCAACGTCCCGTAAAGAATACGCAACTAACCTAACAAGTTAGTTTAGCATTCAGCTTATTGTCTGACCATTAATTATGTATATACACCATAGGGATGAGTAACGTCATGATGTCAAAGTATGCTTCTTCTGTGTTCACCCCTTGAAAGGGTAGCTGGTGGCACAGTGTGTTGTGGTTTACAGCTTGGCTGCAATCTCTAACTCTTTTCACATATCCGTTTTCAGCAACTCCTTAATTAGTTGCACTTTATGAAAAGCTTGTTAAGAGGCAAATGGTCTCTTCTTTTTTCTTCAACAAACTGGGCTTTGGAACTCTCATGAGGAAGGATAAGATGTGATGAGATGTTGGTATCCACATCTTCTTCTTCTTCTTTTGTGGTCTCACTCAAACCAGGTTGCCGTGGTTTTCTGTGTTTGTCTTGCATTTCTCGAGTGGCTTTTGTGATGGATTTGTTTATCTTTTTAGAGATTTCAGCTACACCATATATCCAACTCTTTCTTGGTCTTCCCCTCACCTTCCTCCCTGACATTCTGCTGTAAAGTTTCATATGCAGTTTGGTCTGGCTGCCTTCTCACTAGATGGCTGAACCATTTAATTCTTTGTCCGTCTGATTCCAAATTTCTCTAGAATGCTGACATTTGTAACACAGTCTCTTCTTGTTTTGTTAGTCATCCCAAACGTTGTTCTATGTCGTTATCCTTAAACAGTGCTAGTCAGATATCTGCAACAGTCTGTTTTCTTGAGTAGTAGATCCAAAGTATGGTCACTACTTGTGACTTTCCCAGTGAAGCTTGCCACTCTGCTCGAAGCATCCCTGTCTTCACCTTTCTCAACATGCTTTCAGAGTCTGTTACAATTACGACATGTGTATGCAGCTTGTTCTCTAGCCAACGGAGAGCTGCAGTTACCGCCTCCACATCCATTCTTATGCTAAATGTTGTCCTTTCTGCAACAGTGGCACATCAGCCATATGATGCTAGACTCATATTAGTATAGACCAGTTGGCACTTGATGGGTTATGTGGTCAACATCCTGCAGGATGTTGCAATCTGGGCCTTATTTTTAAAATCATATTAATTAGTACAAGCTGAGAATGAAAGACTAAACACAGGAACCAAACTGAGATCAATGACAAACAATACACACTTTAAATTTACATTAAAAAAACAAGTAGATCACAAGGCTTTAATAATAAATACATTTATTCCTAAACAATATTCAGTGCTTTAAGTCAGTTGTGTATCCTGTACAAGATTTGCTGCAGTACGACCTGGTTTTGGAATTACAAACTGGGTTCGTAACCCCTAAGTCATAGATGCTGACATTCAGTGCTTTATAATGGCCACAAATTAGTGAAAAGAGGCAAAAGAAAACAAAACAATATTAAATAAACCTGCTTGCAAACTTTATAGATGTTCTATACTTATGAACTGTGAGCATACTGTTCTTAAGAAGTCTAAGTCAGCAGACATTAGAGTAGTCAGTTATAATGAACCATTATTGCAGGATTACAAATGTAGTTTCTGATTTACATTCCCACAAAGTGGCATGTCGCCATGTCCAGTTACTAACATCTGTCAACTGTTTTATACATTTGACTTCTTACTAAATCTAAGAACCACAGTTACCCCTATACTGCCCTGAACTAATACACCAGATATCCAAGGATATCTTTAAAAAAATGAAGAATGGTTTATTTTCAAAGAGGTTTTTCAGAGAGTTAAAGTGACCAGTGTGGAGGTCACATTTCATTAATGTGCCACCATGACCAAATGTAACAGTAAGAGAACACACAACACAGTAGATGGGATTCAATGGGAAGGGACAATCACTCATCATATATTGCTCAAGACTGAAAGAACTAAAGGAAGCAAACAACACTAACACCATATGTCATAAGACACAACTAAGGAGACTGACTGTCTCATTCCATAAGAAACAACAGTTGCCTAATTCCAGCCAATCATAAATAAATCTCCAGACAGAAGGGTTGATTGTGAGATGGTTGGGGAATGATACTCCATTGGGAAATTAGAGGTAGAGAAAGATAGCTATTCTATAAAGTCAACTGTGCTGAAAATAATTAACATTAATATAAAAACAGATGTTGTTTAACCCACCCAGTACCAAGAGACTCAATGTCCCATTGTGGGCTAGTCTACGCTAGGTAAGCTTTTTCTTACCTCCCTGTTCTTAATCTAATTGTTGAATGTACCTCACTCTACCTAAAATGTTACTTTAATTAACTCTCATCTGTTATTCCGTGTAATAAAATTCCTTTAAACCCCAAGCATTTGTTAGTTTGAGGTAACAAACTGTTACAGTAGAATAGGTCAAGATAAGGCTATCCTCTGAATAACGGTCCCAAATTATCGAGGCCGAAAATATACCCTAACAGGGCCTCAGTCATATGTAAATTGCGGACTTCTGGCATCTTAAATTGCGGACTTCTGGCGACTATCACCACCGTCGAGAGTATCTCCCGCACCGCGGGACTAGATAGCTAAACTAGATAGCTGGGACTCACAAGCAGCTGTTACCGCATCTCCTGCAGCTTCCTTCATTTTATTTGCTCGTGATTCCCAGCTATCTAGTTTAGCCCCACTCCGTGCCGCACATAGCGGCCCAGGTGATACCCTTGGCAGTGGTGGTAGTCGCCGGAAGTCTGCAATTTACATGTGGCTGAGGCCCTGTTGGGGTATATTTTTAGCCTCTTTAATTTGGGACCGTTATTCAGAGGATAGCCTCGAGATAACAACTGCCTAAGACCAATCAAGTTAAAAACAAATTAAATAAGTGTAATAATCTTGGCAGTGATGAGGATCTCGATGTGTTTGTTATTAGACCATCTTTTGATTGATATGAATTTCTAAATTCTAATGGGTTATTTCAATGGTTAGATTCATATTCTGCACATATTCCACAGTTGTTGGCTCGGGCATTTGAAAGACTTGGCTAATGATGACAAATTTTAAAAGGGATGTTAAGGTGGTCATGCGCTGAATAACACTTTTTCTTATAGCAGGGGGCTGTTGTCATTTGGAGACAACAAGTTTAATTCTACAGCGTTTGATTTTTGTTGTCTAATGTGTCCTCCCAACTTTACTTCTTCCTTCCACATCTACAAGTGTCAATCAAACATGCAATTTGTGAGTCATAACGATGAAGATCATAAAGCTGTATACATAAAACTCAAGATACATGGAATACACTTGATTCATTACTGATCATGACTGTACAAGGGGTCATTTGTATATCATTGCCTTCAGCTTCCGGAAGTGGCCATTGACCTGCTGTAGTTGGTTAGGAAATGGGATGTTCCGTGAAGTGTAGAGAGCTTCAATCTTCCCCATCACCACCTCCAGGAGGAACTGAGCATTCTTGATGATGAGGGATTCCTGAAGTACAACAGCATCAACAAAAAAACTATAGCTTTGTCCTCTTCTTTTTTCTGTGTGCTTGAAATAGATTGTGTATATCTGCAAAGTTGTCTTTGCATGCATTTTAACTACGCATGTGCGTACATGCATTGTGCATGTGCATGCATGACAGAGAGTAAGAAAGTGAGAGAAAGAAAGAGTGAGAGAGAGAAAGAGAACCTCACTGTTCTGGTTAGCCCTAATTAGATAGACCCATCAGCACTCTGTGGATTATATGGTGAACACCATACCAGACATCTTTACTTCCCAGGACTTTACCTAGTGCCAATCAAGGCTGGGTCAACCTAGTATCCAAGTTCATTTTTGAAAACAATGCGGCTCTTTCTGGATTTGAACCCATGACCTTCAGATCCGTAGGCGATTGTCTAGCAGCTACACCACGTGGCTCCCCATGCTATGGTACATCACAGTCTTCCTTGAGTTGAAATACATAAATATTATGTACCATGAGGCTTCATGATGTCAGAGTCATTGTTGCTAGAAGAACTGCCCAGTTTACATGTTACAGAGACTTTTTTTTCTCCTGGCAGTGAGGAAACCCCACCATTACACAGTAAGTTTAAAATAATAATCTGAAACCCCACCATTACACATTGAGTTTAAAATAATAATCTGAAACCCCACCATTACACAGTAAGTTTAAAATAATAATCTGAAGACAGAAAACTTTAATACACAAGTTTATGTGCCTGGAGAGGAATATACTTATGGCCTAGAAACACCTGCAAGAAAGCACTTTGAAAGCCTGCATACATAATAGGTAATAGTATTTAAAAAAAAGTTAACTAGGAAACAAAAAGACTACACAAAAAATAGGGATTGTGCAGAAAGATACAGTAATAAACAAAAGCAGTTCACACTGACTTTAGGTTACAAGTGTAAGACTTGGACATAAACAAAAGAAAATGAGAGAAAACTGAGATAAGATCTTTGAGAATAGCTGTGAATAAAACCAGAAGAGATTGAGTGAGAGACTGCTTGATCACAAGAACTGTTGGAACAACACCCACCATTCAATTTATTGAGAAACCAAGAATTAAATGATTTGGCTATCTAACAAGAATTAAACCAACGATGCGTACCACCTGAAAATCGAAACATAGAGAGACAGGGGAAGACTGAGAAGAAGATGGACTGAAGGAGCCACTGACAACTTGACACTGCATAACATCATGGTATATCAAGCAACTGAGCGCGCCCTGGGTCAGCTGCCGATCATCTAATCAACTGCGACACCTAGTGGTATAAGCAGATATTGACATAAGAACAACAAGAAAACTTTACTATTGTCTGCTACTGTAGCTGTACTATTTACTTTATCACAACCAGCTGATTATCTATAGCTCCACTGATTATTACCTGATAGTCAGGGATGTAGACACATGCTACACTCCTCATATGGAATAAGCAACCTTAACTTCTTATTGCCTTTTCAATTCCTCTTCCCTTTTTACCTCCTTCTCTTTTTCTCTCCACCACTCTTTTTATTTCATCTCCTTTTATTTCATGGTGTCAGTATCTCCCCATTTAGAAATCAGCAGCAAACTACTGAAATTGAAACAGACTAGTGATTCCACAAACAGCTAACAAATGCTGTGGTTGGTTGGTGAAATTCTGTAAAAGATCTTGCAACAATTTCCTCTGTTCTGTGAGTTCCAGAGAAACTTTTTTTTTTTTAATGTGTGTCCTATGCAATGCCCAATTTGAACAAAATGTTTGGCTGATGTATGTTGGATGTCAGGTTAAAGGTTCACATATAAAAGCTTCAACATCCTATTTATGGTTTTAAAAAAAAGGTAAGGGGATATCTACGAGTAAGTAATTAAGCTATCTCTGCTTTATGCTTGGAAGGTCATGGGTTCATTTTATGCACTGTATTAATTTTTTAAAGAGATTTGTGAGAGTTTGTGCTTTATGTGACGCTCTCAGCAGGCGGCCAGCTATTTTGCAGGAAGAGCATAAGCTATATGGGATAAAAATCATATGGGAGCAGAACAATAAGCTAAGGAGAGGCGATGTTCATTAACAGAAGCATAAAACAACAAGCATGCTGACATGTAAAAACACATATGAATACATGTGTACCTCTTTCTGGAACTTTCCAGATTTGAGGGACTCTTCTATGTGTGAGATCTGGGCACCGTACACTGCTGTAATGGCATCAGCAATAATATCCTCCAGCTCTGTAGTAAACAACTTCAGAAGGTCATCGACAAATGTCACAGACACCTTGGCAAACTGCATGGAGTTCATGGTGATGGAGATAATGCAGTTATCTGTTGAGCAAAGAAAAAAATTAAACACACACAATGACACTACAAGAATGGTATAAGAAACAACCAAGTATTTTCAACAATTCTGATCTGTTAATTAATGCCTATGTTTTAGTTATTATTATCATGTGCCGTGCCATCTCACATGATCGCCAAAATCACGGGTCAGGTCACTGCTCTTATTTGGCCCCATCCATATGGCCAAGCCAACCAGGTATATATCTGTTTGCCTTTCCCTGGCTCTATGTCCATCAATCTTACCAGTCATCACCAAGTTCTCCAGTCCATTCCTTCTCATAACACGTCCAGATTTTCCAACCCGATTATGAATTCCATATGTCTCAAGGAGGACTGCCTCATTTGTTGACAAATCATCACTGTTCTGGGCATCTTAAAGAACTTAGTTTGCCACTGCTTTCCTCCCTGATCTATAATGATCTACAAAGACATGCATTTTATGTGAAATCATGATTGTTTTTGGCAACATGAAGAAGACAGTTTGCCAGTGCTTTCCTTCTTGGTCTATAATGATCTATAAACAATTCAAGAGTACAAACTGTACAACTGTATAAATATGTACTCACAAATCTTCAATGACAATGGGCTGTACTGTCATTATATCACAAATCTTCAATCACAATGGGCTCTACTGTCATTATATCACACATTTTCAATGACAATGGGCTGTACTGTCATTATATTTCAGCTTATCACTCACAGGTACCAAATGGCACCCACATTGAGTAGCATAAAATGCAGAAAATATAAGACACAATAAACAATTACAACAACAACAAAACATGAAAGTTATAGTGGCCACACAGGGATTCAAACCTGCTGACAGTATCCCCCAGGAGGAAGAAGTTTACCTCAACAAACAGCCAATGAAACAGACAAACATGCCTTTTCATTAGTCAGATCTATCATCTATTTGAACCCACAACTAAGCCATAAGAACAGAATTCATAGACAGCAACTGGAATAGCACCATCAATCTCAGAAATACAAGAAATATATAATATTAACCAAGCTTTGGTCAAGTAACATACACTCATTCATATATCACAAACATTTAACGAAGATATTCACAAAAATATTGCCAGGTATATTTCACTGTATCTCATCAGGTGCTTTACTACAGAGTTACATCCATACATAATCAAACTCAAAAAGTCAATTAATTCTACTGAAATACAAATGGTCTCTCTCAATACATTGTTCATCTAATCACTAGAAGTTCATGACAGTCATGTAACTACAGTAATTTCAAATTTATAATGAATTTTTTCTGTTTAGATGGGGCAAAATGGGGTAACAGAATTCAGACATGGATTATTCTGTTTAAAATCCATACATTCTACTTTTAAACATAGTGAAGACAAGGACAGATTAGCACTTCCGGTCCAATACTGAAGATTAGGCATGACAGAATGTTATTTTTTGCTTCTGACAGTGCTTTGCTAATGCAATTTTCATATATGGATGGTAGTCTACGATTTTGCTGCCTGAGCTACTGAGTTTAGTGCTTGGTGCAGCCCTGTGAGCTGTGTTTTTCATGTGGAATGCCTTTCATTTGTGCAGCAGTTAAGTCATGGTATTCAAAATGGCTAGTAGCCGGTTTTCATACAGGCTGTTGAAATACATTATGTAATAATTCTACATGTGTTTAGTCAACCTATCATGTCCAATCACTTCCGTCAATGACAAACTGCATTTCTGGTAGTGACTGTTGGCTTTAGTGTCTCTTTCTGGATTGTGTTGGGACTAACATTTTGTTCACCATTTTTTTTCATAGGGTACAGTGAGGAACATTTCATTTTCCCTGGCATAGAAACGGAGTAAGTACGGGTGACCTGATTAAAGTTGAAACCTTGCCCACGAGTGCGACGATAAGGATAGATTAACAAAACCCACAAAAACTGTTTTCTCACCATATACATAGGCTTTAATGTCAAACCCTGATGCAGCAATTTCCTTCACATACTTTTCACAGTCAGTTGGTGTCAGATGGTTCATTGGTCGCCACAGATCATCCTTTGAAAAAAAAAAAATATATATATATATATATTCACACACACACACAGAGCATACAGCTATATATATATTTTAAAAAGAAGTACACAGCTGTATAACTGATTTATTGTTTTTTTTTAGAGCTGTTTGACTTTCTTTCTAATAAACAGTCATAATATCACTGTACTCATAATCTGTTTGAGGTGAGAAGATCGACTTCCCTGCACCGGGTTTTACCTCATATGGCTTTGCAGCTCTGCAAAAAAAGTTCAACTACCAAGGACGTCACACAACAAGCCAATCACAGCTTCAGTGATCACCCCACCCCCCCCCCCCCAAACCTCCACTGGATCTCAAAAACACATGTACTCGTCAACTAAAGGAATTTAACCAGCCATGTTATCAGGAGAAACACTGATATCATTAACAGGAAATATCATTGCGTGGACCCTAGAACGAAGATCAAAGAACTAGCCTAGGATAATGTAAAATAGTACTGTGAAAGGAATGAATGAATTAGGATTGCCACCACTGCATTCAGGACATTTCCACATGTGATCCATTCCTTGCTTCAATGGTCAACAAAGATTTCTCATTTATTTGTTGCCCAGACACTACTTACTCGGAGCTGAATCAGTCTTGCCATGTCTAGGTACTCAATTCTCTGCACTTTATTGTATAAAGTAATTCAAAACCCAGAATAGTAGTAGTAGCCAGTCTATCAGCTCCCCCATTGTTCCTCACACATGCATTACCAGGGCAGAAAAATCCATGATATGCTCCTGTTCAAGCAAAGAAACCAGTTCTGTACTAGTCTTTATTTTCTCAAACATGTTCTACAGATCTGTAACAATTAGAATATGTTGGGTTGTTCCCACATTCCAGCCATCAGAAAGTCATCATTATTGCCTCCATTTCCAATCTCATGCTAAATGTTTTGACTTTATATGTGAATCCTTTGCAAGCAACTAGTGCAACAGAACATGTCCTCTCAGTTTCCACTTCATAACATGTGAAGAATGAGGACATTGCTTTGCCCTACCCCACTTAGGAAAAAGGTATGGTGGTGAAAGAAACTTAACTCTTTGAGTTCCAGAGGGTTTAGTATCACAGGCCCAAGGTGTAGTAAAGAGAGTCATAAAATCAGCCCATCATGCGTTAATTAGGCTTCTGGGAAGGAACCTATGAATGTATGATGTGTTTCTTGGGACTCAAAGAGTAAGTAAACCTTGTCAAATTATAAGACAGATAGATGCGGTTATCTATAATGAACAAAGAAGAAGAAGATGGCCTCAAATTAGGTGACATATTTTTAGATGCATTTATTGGGAAATGTAGCAGTTCAGTAGTAAAGATTTTAAATACACACTGAAGTTTTCATTTCACTTAATGCACTTAAGCACTGAGATCATTTCTGTTAATTACATGTACAACATATTTTTCAAGTATATACAGAACAATGCAAACATGTTATGTTACCATTGCTGGTGTGTAAATTCTTGCTGACTACAAACACTGCAGTACTCACATGTGCCCGGTAATTGATGCCATCAATGATCTGATCTCTAGTCTCCTCTATCACTTGTTGTATAGAAATGTCCAGCAGGTTAGAGAGGCAAAACTCAACATCAAGTCCAATGGACTTCAGCTGCAAACATCAAATACAATCTTTTCTTGAAAAACATACAAATCAGTTTAGAATCCTACTGATAATCATTAACTTACAAGTACAATAAGTAAGGAAATGTAATGGATCCACCCACACATATATTTATACATACATATTTATATAATCCCTGTTCCAGTGATCCATTTGTGTGTGTGTGTGTGGGGGGGGGGGGGGGGGGAGAGAAAAACAAATATACCCACTCTCTCTAAGTAAGTTGTAAAAGGTGAATAATTTTGGATTTTCTGAAATCAGGTGTGTTGGGCCAAATGAGACAAATATCACAGCCTAGCTGTAAACCACACCACAACATGCAAATCATCCTTCAATGGTGAAATCAGAAGCAGAACTTCTGTTTGTCTGTCTGTCTGTCTGTCTGTCTGCGTGTGTGTGTTGTGTGTGTGTGTATATATACATATAATGCCATGTCCTGTACCTTTAACAACAGACAAATATATCACACATTGTGATGATATGAATAGGGGAAAGACTGCAGACGATCTGACGACAAGAGGTTTTAAATACAACAGACAGTTAGTAGGCTGAAATAAGTTTCCTTTGTTGTATGTCTATTTTCCCTCATGTTTTTACAGACACATACCTGCACACAGACAGCTATCAGCAAAGTCTGTGTGTGAGGTCAGCTTACCTCCTGACAATGAGTCCTCGCCAGCACCACACAGTCTGCGATTGTGGTCAGGCTAGCCTTGCTCTCAAACACCTGGCGGCGAAATATGCTGACAAAAGCTTGCAGCTCCTGCTTGGCCCAAATGACAAATGCTGAAAATCACAGATAAGCACACAAAGTAATGTAATATACTGGGCAAATAAATAATGAATGAATAAATAGTATGTTTTTACTGCTAATATTTACCACTTTGAGCATGATAATGTAGGGTCACATGGCTAGTGTATTTATCCTGAACTGTGCAGGTCATAATTGTTTTTTTTTCTGTGTCCCTGGCAGCAAATTTTTTCTATCATTACTGGGAATTCAAACTCAGGTCTCCACATGAGAGCCCCATGTTCTAACCACTCAGCCAGATGCTAATATAAACAGTATTCATTCATCCCGTGTGGGTTCCTGGGCGCTGTTATGGGGAAAACAAGAATAGATCCACTGCCTAACCAAAAGTATGTGGTAAGAGTTGACTAATTGGAAGCTTCCTTCAAAGTCTGAGTGTATCTGCCTGAGAGGCAAGGAACCAGCAGTCTGCATAAAAATGAGTCAGAACTGTAAAACAGATGCACACGCAACACTCAGGTTCTGGAACAACAACCAGAACTCTCCACCAGAGTTTACAGCTGGTGAACACAAAGAAAAATAAGAAGTAGAAGTATTCATTCATTGTCCAGTTGTGCCATTAAATTTCACCTAGGGCTTGTGGTCTACTTTCTCCACTTGTTCAATCCTGTTCAATCAATTCAACATCATGGATGGAATCCAATCCAGTACCTTTGGCCTCTCTCATTAACCTTCGGTTCAGGGTTTCTTTTAGGCACTCTTGCTTTCTCAGTCACCTCTATGTCCCATGTTAGTGCCATTATACCAACAAGTCCAATAAAGCCCCATCTTCTTTGTCTCATAACTGTCGTTACCAGTGGTTGCACATTTCTCTTATTTCTTCAACTCTCTTGAATTCATCCCATTTATGTTCAACAATTTTGTCAGGCATTTGTAAATAGTATTCTATATAACAAAAGATATGAGCTGTGGCTGTGCAGTGGCTAGCCCTTTAGCCCCCGTGGTCAAAGACCTCAAAAAGGATCAATGATCAAAGATGATTTTCAAAACTGCCGATTCTTGTAGACTGGCCCAGGATAAAAATATGTTACGGTCTGGGGAGAACGGCGAGGAGTTACAAGGAGATCTAGCCGACGCTCGACACTCAGGGAAAAGGCGAGACAATCGACAGTTACTGGTACCATGGAATTTTAACTCTTCGCTTGCTGCTGAAGATGGGGAGGGAGCGCTTATGGGGGTGTCCTGAGTGCTGCGATGTCGATTCTTAATTCAACATTAAAAAATGTGTGCCTGGAAATGTCCTCAAAAGTAAAGGTGGCTGGTGCGATGGCGACTACATCTACTGACTGACTGATAAGAAGACGGGGCTAGCACCACATTTCCAACCCACTTCAAATCCAAGGCAGACATTTGCTGCAACTAAAGAAGCATACTCCTTCAGTGAATACCCACTAGTCAAGATAATGCCCCCACCCCCTTTCTGGCTTTTTACTGATGCACTGTATTTCCCATCTTTTAGCTAATGAAGGCTGTTCACATGTTCCCATTTTAAGGCATTTATCTTGAAAAGGACTAGTCTATCTATCTATCTTCTTTTACCCCACCAGGACATCACACAAGCGATAAATACCCGATGAAGTGCCATCATGTGGATGAGGATCACCCGTGGCTTCAAATAACGAAAAATTGTATCCCACAAAAAGATGACAGGATAACTGTTTAAAAAGGACTAGTCACAGAAGGACCCATAATATACTTGTTACTGTACACTAGCTGTTGCAGTTTTAGTTAGTGCCTGCCAAATACTTAGGAGGTCAGGATGTAAATTTATTTTCTTAAAATAGCATTTATGAAGGTGTTCATCCTGTGTAATTTATGCAGTTTTTTTCAAAGCCAAGTCAATATAACATTTTTCTGTAAGCCTCAGTAGAGAATCACCTGACACACATATTTTTTAAGGTCTTGTTGAATGTATTCCATTTAATGCTTCATTCTCTTCATGTTTAATTATTAGTAATCTGTGTAAACAATATTTTTGGGAATTCCCGATGGCTCATGACCCGTTTTATTTTAGCATTCTCAGGATGAGAGTTAACAGTTGCTGACTCAGTAAACCTGCTGTCTGTAACAATGGTAATGTTATCCTCATCATTAATCTTTCCAGGCGTCTCTGTTTACCTATTTATCTATGTTTTATGCATTTCCATTGTACTGACCGTCCCGCTCATTTGTTTATAGGCTTATGATTCTTGTTTTGTTCTTTGATGAGACTTGGGTCATTTGTAACGTCTTTTTCGTTCCCTTTGTTAGGCTTCCTAGTCTTTGTTCTTTGTTTAGTTACTTCTGCCTTTTCACACACTGTGTACATTTTGTGACTTGACGTCAGCAGTGTGCTTGCAGTCGCACAGTGTACAGATTAGATGTAATCATGTACATGACTGATAAGCATACTTACACAGAAAAAACTTTTTGTCATGAAAAAAAAAAGTTCACAGAATCTCTGATACACAAGCAACATGTGTGTGTTGACTGAGAAGCTCTAATTAGTCCAAACAACACAGTCTGCATTGACAGTGAGTCCCGAACATAATGATTCTCATACTGTTCAGTACTAGTTTTTAATATCTGAAACTTTATTTAGAAGATCAGCATCATTTACAAACAGTGAATTTTCTGGTTTTGTCTTTGTTCTGACAAATTTTCAGATCACACGTACAGGCCGCAGTAAGCACCTTTCTGTGGCTGAAGCTCTGAAATTGTTTCAGTCAGGTGTTTTTAATTCTGAAAATATAAACTTAAATTGTTCGTAAAGTGATTCAGACGGTGAGTTTACACCAACAGCAGCTGAGTGGTCAGCTGTCAGAGAATCTAGCAGTTTTGATGAGTCTGACACACAGGACCCATTTCATTTGCAAAGGGTGTGACAGTCACCCACTTCTGCCAAAACTTTTGAATTTGTAAGGAAACTGAATAAACTTTAAAGTGTTATTCTCAAATTTGGATACTCACTGCTCTTGTGGGGAGCCACCGTGGTGCAGCGGCTAGATGCTCGCTTGCAGATAAGAAGGTCACGGGTTTGGGTCTTGACAGGGGCTGACTTTTTTTCAACTCAGCCTCAAGTGGATACCAGGTATGGTCCTGGGAAGTAAAGGTGGCTGGCGTGGTGCTGGTAACATCACCTGCTAAGTGCTGTTTAATCTATAAAATATAGGTCTAGCCCTGTGTACTTAATTTGCCTAAAGGCATGGAAAAGGGTCCTTTACCTGTACTGCTCTTGTGGCTGCAGAACCACGGTAAGTAAAGAACTGTTATACGCAATTTTGTCTTTGTGAACTTTACACCTGCTGAATTCTTTTTTTCCCCCTCCTAACTATAAAAGCATTAAACACTGACATATATAATTCAAATTGTACATTTACATAAACATTCTCTACTGCCTGTATTTTATACCACTCCCTCTGCCATTTTTATAAAGGGAAATTAATGCCAGCCAAGTTTGTCTAAATGCATGGGCCTGGCCAAGAGAGTTAACACAAACTGTTTCAGATTTAAGGAACTGAAGAACATACCTGAAAAACATCCATGGTGACCAGGAAATGCCTTAATGAACTCCTTTGAGGTGTCTGACAGTGAGGAGAAAAACACTCCACACAGACACCGAATATAGAGAGTTGTTGCCCCTTCAAACTTCAGCTGTCGAATGTTGTATTTGATTATTGCACTCCGATTTTGCAAGAAGAGTTCACAAGCCTAGAAAAAAAGCAATTTTTTTTATTTAACGTAAAAATAAACTGTGTATATTACTGGTTTTCAACCTTGGCAGCCATGACAACAGGGTCCGGGATGCCTCAGAATCAATGTTTTCCATATTTAGATGTAAACTGGTAATTATTAATGTAGTTTTTTTTTTTAAATTAGAGAAAGGGTTTTCAAAAGACAGTTTGTAAATAATTTTTCTTGCATGTGAAAATATTTGTGCAGGGAATACTCAAAAAGCACTTTACGAAGCATTTCTTAAAATGCTGTTGCTAAAAATAAAAAAATTTAAACAAATTATGCTAAACTATTCAGACATCACTTTAAAAAAATATTTATTCTCTTTGGCACCCTTCAAGAAACTGGAACCTCATAAATTGTGAATTTGTTAGGAAATTGAACAAACTTTACAATTTTATTCTCACTGCTCTTGTGGCTGCACAACCATAGTAATTGAAGAATTATTTCACACAATTTTGTCTTTGAAATATAACACCTGCTGAATTCTTGTTTTTTCTACTAACTATAACAACATTTAAACATTGACATACAATTCAAAATGTACATTCACCCTTCTGCTGGTGATTCTAGGATGTATACAAAATACCCCAGTAGTATGTATGCAATACTTAATTGCACAGGTTTAAACTGCTGCAACTGACGTAATACCTCGGAGTATATGCAGACAAAAAACACCTCCTTTATGAAGCCCTGAATGCAGATAAGGGCCACTGACTAATGAGAGGGAAGTCTTGGATGACACAAGCGGAAGACACAATTAGAAATGTACGTAGGCTTGAAAACACTGGGTTTTGAGAGGAGTGGGTGAAAGTGTCAGAGCAGACTTGTGACGAGTTCTAATCACACTGGACCGAGAGAGTACAGGGACTAGCCAGCAGATACTGCAGAATCAGAAATTAAAGAGCTGATACATGACAAGTCTCATCCAAGAGGTATGATCATGTACGCAGGTCTATATGTGTTAGGGGTTTTAATGTAAAATCAAACAGACATCACTTAGTAACAAAGACTAAACTAACAGAGCCTGTAGTTTGAGAATGGAGGTGGAGGCAGTGATATCAGCTTTTTTGTTGGCTTGAGAACTGCCTGCACAGACTTGCTGTTTGCTCACAAAGCAAGCAGATAAAAGTTAAGAAAGGCATGCTCCATTCTTCTTCTTCGAATTCACTGGCTGTAAACTTGACGTAAAGTTATTGTTGTTCTTCCACCTCTGGACTTTAGTTTGGCTGATTTGTATGCAGACTGTTGAATTCTTGACTCTCAGGCAGATGTACTCCAACTCTGAAGGAAACCCCCATCTAATTGACTCTTACTACAAGTTTGTTGGGGAGGCAATTTGCTTGTTTTTCACACAATGGGGCCCCAGAACTAACAGGGGAAGTTCTCCATGCAGATTGGCAAGCATTGCTTCAGAAGTCCCTGGTAGTTTCCATACTGTGAATATTTTCTCCATGTAAGGAGTGCTGGGAAATGAACAGGCAGATAGACTGGCCAGTGAACAATGTGAACAATGTGAAATCACAAACAGACAGTGGCAGGGAGTAACCAAGTGATATGGTCAACATGCTACACTCAGAGGAAAGGCAAGATGGAATTATAATCAAACTGCTACTTGTATCACCAGAATTGGAAATCTTGACTGACTGCTGAAGATGAGAACGGAGCACATATGGGACGGTTCTGAATGCTGTGATGTCAGTTCTCAACTAAACTCAATGACTGCTGTTAGGGTGTCAAATGTTAAATCTCCACACACTGTAGGCCACGAGATAGAAGATGGTGCTGCTGGTTTCCCTGCTCGCTGCCTTACTTCTCCACACAATTTCCAGAGATTTCTGGAAATGATCTGATTTTTATTTTATGAGAGTGGCGCGGTGATATTTGTCACAGGCGTGAGGGGAAGTTAAGTCCAACATGATGTGTATAAGGAGATACTCGGGCGCCAGTCCTTAACTATCCTGGTTGTACGGAACCTCACGCAAGACCCCTACAGCACGTGCGCCACGGATAATGTCTCAAATGAGCATTAACAGAGCTGTCAGGGGACCTCGGAGTTCGGCGGCCCCCAGAGGTGATGTGTCCTTGGGGCTCTCATCAGCCCGCCCCCAAACGCTTGGGTGAAAAATGTTATCAAAACTCATTAGGAACATGAGTAGGTTTGCCAAACGTACAGCCAAAATTACAACCCTTGGTTAAAAGACTGCAGAGTAAAGAGAACATTGTTCACTGCACATCCTCTGTTAACCCTCAGTGTCGTCGTCACCGGGCTGAGGTACACCACAACAGCAACCATCCATAGGCTGGCCATCCTTGTACATCCTCGGTTAACCCCCAGTGTCGTCGTCACCGCGCTGAGGTACACCACAACAGCAACCATCCATAGGCTGGCCATTCATGTACATCCTCGGTTAACCCTCAGTGTCGTCGTCACCGCGCTAAGGTACACCACAACAGCAACCATCCATCGGACGGCTAAGCCTAATTGTCCGACAAAACTAGATCATACGGATCAAAATCTGACCATCAAAATTTGTATTGAACTGAAAAAGACCGAATGTCCACACCCAAAGACCCCACTCGCCCGAGTGTTGGGACAAAACGGATAACGATATGGCTGATGCAGGATGTAAAATTCTGTCGGGCTAACGGCTCGTCAAAGAAATCTAACGTGCGAAGAAAAAAAAGAAAAAGAATGTACCTATCTGTGTGGTCACAAAAGTCCAAAACCCACGGGCTGCTCCCCGCTGACTTCCAGAGGGCGCAGCCCCTGTCGAGCGGGAGGCCTGATACGGTTGTGAGGTTAAGCAGGCATGTGCAGGACGTGACGATTCCTTGGGTGAGCCCAGAACCAGAGCGTCATGTGCCGGCTCTGCATGCATGGAAGCCTCCTTGGATGGCGGGGAATGCCCATGATCTGCCCCTGCCTTCCCTTGAGGGCTAACTGTTCCACAGGGGGCTGCTCCAAAGGGGTACTCTGAGGGTAATACCTGCGGAGAAGGAGACAAAGTGGACACCACACAAATCAGGCAACGTCTCGACCCACACAAAACTATGGCCACAGTCAACCTAGAAATAGGCCTGACGTCTTGCTTCGAAGTCGGAGTACAGCTGCCCAGGAGGCAGGGAAATGAAAAACGGTTGTACACGCAAAAATCAGGTCCAGGTGAAAGCCAAAAGTCCAAGCGGACGATTAACCGGGACCTTCCACTGGAATTCACAGCCGGTGATCGATAAAAAAAAAAAAAAATTTTATGAGACTGTTGGCCACTTCTGGGAATTTAATACAGTCTCAGCATGCCAGCTAACAAACTACAATGCCAGATTGTTCCTCACTTTCAGAAGATTAAAGAGAAAAACTTAATATATAATGGAAGTTGCAAATCTAAACAGTTAATACTGGCTATTTTAGGAAACCTAGTCAAATTTATTGTGACTATATTAATTTCTTTTCATTCATCCAATCCTTGATATTACAGGTGTCTGCAGACAGTATAATAATAATTCTGGATTAGGCCTATAATTACCTAACAGATTATTTGTTAAAAGAATAATTTTAGTCTACACATGTATCAGATTACTTGGGTCTTATTAACAGGAACAGTAAAATATCTTTGTTGTCCATGAATCTTCAAGGAACCAAATATTAGTTTATCACAATTTAAAAGTAAAATATAATGTTATCAATTTCTCCTCTCTGTAAACATAAGATCAGGAATTTCATTGGAACTGTGAAAATCTGAATTGAATTTTTAGAGAAATGAAATGATTAACAAAAAAAGTAATTTTTGTTGGTTTCCAAAAGTAAAGAACACAAACCTGAGCAGATTTTCCGAGTCGAATGAGCTGTGTGACAGCCCTCCTGGCAGCTCGAGGCCCTCCCCGAAGTGATCTCTCGGGTGACACTTGTAACTCATTCATGAGCCCATCAGTCAACTGTTTCACTCGATGGTCAATTCTGGCTCTGGAGAAATCCACAAACAGTCGACATCATCAACTGATCAATTCTAGCAGTACAGAAATCCACAAATAGTTAACATCATCAACTGATCAATTCTAGCTGTACAGAAATCCACAAACAGTTAACATCATCAACTGATCAATTCTAGCAGTACAGAAATTCACAAACAGTTAACATCATCAACTGATCAATTCTAGCAGAAATTCACAAACAGTTAACATCATCAACTGATCAATTCTAGCAGTACAGAAATCCACAAACAGTTAACATCATCAACTGATCAATTCTAGCAGTACAGAAATCCACAGTCAACATCATCAACTGATCAATTCTAGCTGTACAAAAATCCACAAACAGTCGACATCATCAACTGATCAATTCTAGCAGTACAGAAATCCACAAACAGTCGACATCATCAACTGATCAATTCTAGCAGTACAGAAATTCACAAACAGTTAACATCATCAACTGATCAATTCTAGCAGAAATTCACAAACAGTTAACATCATCAACTGATCAATTCTAGCAGTACAGAAATCCACAAACAGTCGACATCATCAACTGATCAATTCTAGCAGTACAGAAATTCACAAACAGTTAACATCATCAACTGATCAATTCTGGCTGTACAGAAATCCACAAACAGTTAATTAACATCATCAACTGATCAATTCTAACTGTACAGAAATCCACAAACAGTTAACATCATCAACTGATCAATTCTAGCAGTACAGAAATCCACAAACAGTCAACATCATCAACTGATCAATTCTAGCAGTACAGAAATTAACAAACAGTTAACATCATCAACTGATCAATTCTGGCTGTACAGAAATCCCCAAACAGTTAACATCATCAACTGATCAATTCTAGCAGTACAGAAATTCACAAACAGTTAACATCATCAACTGATCAATTCTAGCAGAAATTCACAAACAGTTAACATCATCAACTGATCAATTCTAGCAGTACAGAAATCCACAAACAGTCAACATCATCAACTGATCAATTCTAGCAGTACAGAAATTCACAAACAGTTAACATCATCAACTGATCAATTCTGGCTGTACAGAAATTCACAAACAGTTAACATCATCAACTGATCAATTCTAGCAGTACAGAAATCCACAAACAGTCAACATCATCAACTGATCAATTCTAGCAGTACAGAAATTCACAAACAGTTAACATCATCAACTGATCAATTCTGGCTGTACAGAAATCCACAAACAGTTAACATCATCAACTGATCAATTCTAGCAGTACAGAAATCCACAGGCGACATCATCAACTGATCAATTCTAGCTGTACAGAAATCCACAAACAGTCGACATCATCAACTGATTAATTCTAGCTGTATAGAAATTCACAAACAGTTAACATCATCAACTGATCAATTCCAGCAGTACAGAAATCCACAGTCGACATCATCAACTGATCAATTCTAGCTGTACAGAAATCCACAAACAGTCGACATCATCAACTGATCAATTCTAGCAGTACAGAAATTCACAAACAGTTAACATCATCAACTGATCAATTCTAGCTGTACAGAAATCCACAAACAGTCGACATCATCAACTGATCAATTCTAGCAGTACAGAAATTCACAAACAGTTAACATCATCAACTGATCAATTCTAGCAGAAATTCACAAACAGTTAACATCATCAACTGATCAATTCTAGCAGTACAGAAATCCACAAACAGTCAACATCATCAACTGATCAATTCTAGCAGTACAGAAATTCACAAACAGTTAACATCATCAACTGATCAATTCTGGCTGTACAGAAATTCACAAACAGTTAACATCATCAACTGATCAATTCTGGCTGTACAGAAATTCATAAACAGTTAACATCATCAACTGATCAATTCTAGCAGTACAGAAATCAACAGTCAACATCATCAACTGATCAATTCTAGCAGTACAGAAATTCACAAACAGTTAACATCATCAACTGATCAATTCTGGCTGTACAGAAATCCACAAACAGTTAACATCATCAACTGATCAATTCTAGCAGTACAGAAATCCACAAACAGTCGACATCATCAACTGATCAATTCTAGCAGTACAGAAATCCACAAAAAGTTAACATCATCAACTGATCAATTCTAGCTGTATAGAAATCCACAAACAGTTAACATCATCAACTGATCAATTCTGGCTGTACAGAAATTCACAAACAGTTAACATCATCAACTGATCAATTCTGGCTGTACAGAAATTCACAGAGGCTGAGTGATCTCAAGGTATGGTGTCCACCTCGAGTTCAAGTCCCGGTGATGGCTGGAATTTTTTCACGTGGACTTCTAGTAATTTGTCTCCTGGTCTCTGGGAAGTAAGAACGGATGCTGTGTGTATTCTTGCGCACATTAAAAAAATCCCTTGGCAGTTGGAAATAAAAAAGAATAGCCTAATGGCCTGACCAGACAAAATTTGGAGTTAAAAATCTACCCAAAATATTTCAGGATTCTCGCCGGTGCACTGCGCTGAGATTCTTCACACTCAGGCTTGAGTCAGAAGTAGAACGGAGCACTTATGGGTTACTACCCGTCTACCATGATGTTGATTCGTTGAAAAAACAAAAACACATTCATAAACAGTTGACATCGTCAAATAATCAGTTCCGGCTCAAGTGAATTCCACAAACAGGATACATTGTCAGATGATCAATTCTGGCTCTAAAGACAGTTTGTAGATATAAACAGCAAAACAACATCAATTGTGGTTGTAGAGAAATCCATATATAGTAGACATTATCAAATGATAATCATTATCAAAACAGACCCACTGCCTCCCCAAGAAGCACGTCATAAGAGTCCACTAACTGGATGCTTCTTTTGAAGTCAGTGCATGTGCCTGAAGCAAGGAACCAACAGTCTGCAAACAAAATAAGTCAGATTTGTAAAATGGATATGCACGCAATACTCAGGTTCTGGAACAAGACTAAGGTATAAAGGTGAATGAACAACTAGAACTTTCTGCCTGAGTTTACAGCTGGTGAATATGAAGTAGAAGTTCAAATGATCCATTCTGGTTGCTCAGGAGTCACAGCAGCAATGACTAGCAGATTTGTTAAATTCCTTCAAAGCAGGGATTGTGAAAACTGACTAGGACTTTCTGGTCAAATATTCTCAGAAGTAAAAGGCTGCTGGCAAGACACTGACCACTTCACTCAATGAGTGTCAATTTGTCTTTAAAAACAATACATGAGACCATTTCAGTACTCTTAAACATACTAGGAGACTAATAAATGTAAAAAAAAAAAATATTTATTTTAATTAAATAGAATATCTGTTCTTGAGAGTTTGAATTGCTTAAACAGACTGGAATTTGTTTTTCAGAGTTTTTACTACTCAACTCTTTCAATACCAACCAACTCAACATATGTTCCTTGATAATTACAAATATAATATGATATCCTTGGTGTTTTTTATCATAGCCACTTCATATAGTAACTCTCAGTGTCTGAATCATTAGTTTAACTACTTAAGAGGAGCTGAAGTAATAACTACCTGGGAGTGAAAGAGTTAAACAGACTAAGAATATACATTTTTCAGAGACTGGATTACTCACAGACTGTTACTGTGGAATCTTGAGTCCAAAGTGTTAATAAGAGAAACAAGAAAAAGAAAAAAGAAAAAAAACAATAGAAAAAAAAAAGGAAAGTGTAATGTAATATAAATCAATATAACAGCAAGATCAAGAGGATGAATTATGCTGCCTTATTAAAGGAAAAACAAGACTGTCTTGAAAAGACACTGGAAAAGACAAGGGCAATATTTCACAGTTCTGTCCAAATTAGGAAAGCAGAAGTTGCACTTATCACAATATGGCACAGGGCTAAATGAAAGAACACCATATACCACTGAATTAAAAACATCAATATCAGAATGGTTACTTCGGCCTGTGTTCACAAAAGAAACCATGACAAACGATCACAAACATGAAGTCCTACAACAAATATAGAGTTCACAATTAGTTATACAAAGCCGCCCTTAAAACTGTGTGTGCACACCGGCACTCAGAGAGACAGAGACAGACAGAATTACAATAAGCAAATCAGAAACAGAACCTGACCTGAACTCCTTCAATGCTGGACCTTTAGGGCAATCTATGAGAAACTCGTTGACTGAAAATGGAAACAAAGTGATAATCATTTTGAAAATGCAATCAATAAAATGAAAGAAAAATAAACACAACAGCTTATTATTTATGTCCCCTTCCAACATTCATGCTGTAGTTGATAGCGTCCCTTTTATGATGTTTTTTGTCTATCTTTCTAGGAATAACCAGTTATCTTACTATATTGGTTTCTAAAATGAACAGCTAATTATATATACAACCATGTGAGAAAAGATAACACCAAATCATTCTCCCACATTCATCCTCAGATGTACTTGAAACTGTCACATCGTGTGAAAAAAAAAAACTTCAATCAAGTGCCATCACAACAATAAAGGCAGCAGATCTAAAAATCAGTCTCTGGTTCTTATTCTACACTCTCTGAGACTGTGGTTTGTCTATCTCTTGATGTTAATCATCCTCCAGTATGTACTGATGTCTGTCTCTTGCATGCTTGCCTTTAACTTTTCTCTCAGTGTGGTTAAAAAAAAACATAAGTGTTATGTCTTTTAATGTGGCTGAAACACAAGGTCCGACAATTAAGTAATGAGACTAATTTTATTATGGCCAAGACAAAAATGCCATCTACAAAAAAGCATGGAATCCAAAGAGGCAAACTTTATTTATGATCCAGCAACTTCTCATCATCGCCCGATAAGGAGACAACAAACAAGCCGCCATTTTCTGACCCAGTCAGAGGTGCATTGTTATATAAACAGCATAGAGCAAAAATCTAACATTAAATTCTGTTTAAAACCCATAAAAAGTGCCAATAAGGCAGTTGAATTGATGTGACAAGTTTATGGGGATAACTGTTTATCTCGTGTACAGATTTTTAGGTGGTATTCATGATTCAAAAGTGATGTGGAAATTATTACTAATGCAACTAGACCTGGACGTCCAATTTCTGTTAGTAATGAGGAACTCATTTCCAAAGGCAGAGAAAGGATAGAAGAACAATGTTTGACTGTGAAGATGATGGCGGATGAATTGGGTGTTAATAGAGAGACCATTCATAAAATTTTAATGGCAGATTTGAGCAAGAAAAAAGTTGCTTGCCAGTTTGTACTACATTCGTTGTCTGATGACCAAAAACGTCAGTGTGTTGAGTATGCAAAAGACATCATCAAAATGTGTCACAGAAATTTAAAAAAATTTAATTTGATTGTTGCAGAGGATGAAACATGGATTTTCCACTTTGATCCCACAACTAAAGGCCAAAGTGCTCAGTGGATGTCATCTTCATCACCAAAAGGCCCTCCCAAAAATATGTTTTTCAAAAGTCTGAAGTGAAGACAATGTTGGTGTACTTCTACAACAGCAAACATATTTATTCACAAAGAATTTATTCCAGAGGGACAGACTCACAGCCATCTTTTATTTAAGTATTTTGAAACATCTACTGAAAAGGATTCTTCAAGTTTGACCCTAGTATTCAACACCTGGCAGTTTTTTCCTTCTCCATGACAATGCATTGGCTCACCGGGCGGTAGAGGCTTAGGAATTTTTTTGCCCCAAACCAATGTGTGTTCTCAACCATCCTTTTCAATTCTCCAGAATTGTCTCCCTGTGATTATTTTATATTCCCAAAATTAAAGTTACCATTGACAAAACGCTTCTTTGACGATACTGATGACATCCAAAGGGCTGTAACATAGACTTTAAGTTCCATAATAACAAAAGAACTATGACATCCAAAGGGCTGTAACATGGACTTTAAGGGCCATAACAACAAAAGAAGTACAGAGGTCGTTCCAGTGTTTGTTAGATCGTGCCACTTGCTGTATCAATGCATAAGAGGCTTACTTTGAATAAAATACAGGTTATATCTTCAACTGTTTTTTTAATTTTTATGGAATTAGTCTCATTACTTAATTGTCGAACCTTGTATTTGACTAACTTCTTGTTTATTTCCTTCAGCAAGTCTCTTTTTATTCCCAGTCTCTTCAGAATGTCAATAGCTGATGCTTTACTAAAAATTACATCATCCCGAACCACCCTGGTGAGATCAAGAATGGCTACGCGCCTGTGCTGGATTGCCACACTGATCACATTGCCTGCAAGTTTGCTGAGATCAAGGAGAAATGTAACCATCGTTCTGGCAAGAAGCTAGAAGACAACCTCCAGTTTGTCAAGTCTGGAGATGCCGCCGTGGTTGAACTGGTCCCCAGCAAGCCCATGTGCGTTGAGGCTTTCAAAGAGTACCCCCCTCTGGGACGTTTTGCCGTGCGTGACATGAAACAGACGGTGGCTGTCGGTGTTATCAAGTCTGTCACCAAGGAGGATGCCAGCGCAGGGAAAGTCACCAAAGCCGCCATTAAGAAGAAGTGAAAGTTAGAGAAACCCTCGTCACTGGCATCAGGACTTGACCAGTACTTAGCTAAATCATGCGGTCAGACTCAAAACTGTCAACACCCCAGATGAGAAGGGATCACATCTGTACTTTCACCCTACTTTAGTTTATTACCCATCAAGAAACTGACTCAGTTAATTTTAATTTCATGGTCTTGGTGGCTATTGCAGTCCAAATTGCACAGAAAAAAGTCAGAAGAAAAAAACCTTAAATGTTAAATTAACTAGTCACTGTATGTGTAAGAGCTTTGAAAATTACTTTTGACTGCATTTGTAAGAGCATTTTTAAGTGTAAATTGAAATTTCCTTGGACTAAGTTTTCTTTCCCCATCTTTCCTCACATGTATATATGTTTTGCAAAGCCCCGCATACGCTTGCAACTCCAAAACTAACAAACGGCAACATCTGTAAAAAACACTGAACAATAACACATACTCCCGCAGATGCCTGTGTGTGTGTCTAAATATATATATATATATATATATATATATATATATATATATATATATAATATATATATATATATATATATATATATATATATATATATATATATATATATATATAAACGTACAACCATATAGTTTCGAGTTTCTTTCAGGCAGACTGTGATGAGAGCGACGTTCTGCAAAGGACCTGCTACATGATGATGATGATAAAACGTACAATACAGCTTACATGCAGCAATGTAAACAGACTGTTTTTCACACTGTAGAAACTTTAAAATCCACTCTATAGAGACCAAAAACTACTATGATATGCAACATTACGAGTAATAAGCCATTGACCCTTACTCGATATGCACCACACTAAATGACTCAGCCTACATATGCCCTTTTTAAGTAAATAAAGCAGGGTTTGTGGGAGTGCAGCGGTTAGTATGACTGCCTGCCAGCCAGGCAATAGGCACTTGTTTAAACAGCCACCAAGACACAAAGATTGTTTATGTTTTAGAACCAAAACATGGGTAGCCAGGTAAACCCACCTATATTGGATATTAGCAGGTAATGCTTTGAGGAGTAAACATGGCCCACATCGCCCATTGAATATGATTAGTATATACAAAACATGGAGCCAGCACCATATACCAATAATTCTCAATGTGTGGAAAAGTCATCCTTTTATAGAATAATAGTTATTATGAAGAGAAACAAGCGAAACTCAGCATGTTCTCATATGACATTTTCCCAATATATTAAAATAAAAAAATAAAAAATGAATAAAAACAAATTTATAATAAGCAATAACTTGGACCAGGAACTCTAACTTTACAATGTTAACAAAGGCAGGGCTGTTAGTAACATGTTAAAAGAGCTCAAAAGTAACAGGTAGAGGTATCACCTTGTAGAACAGTATTTAGGTTAGCCAAGATCTACATCAATGAGAAACACCCACCTTTTTCCACTAAATCCACAGCTCCTTCAAAGTTACGCTGTGCTATAAACATATCTAAGTCTTCTGGCAACTCTTGCAGCCAATCAGCTGCTAAGAAATCTCTGTCCATTGCCACAGGTTCTTCCATTTGGTCAGTGAAACCTGGAGAAGTAACATGCAATCAGGCATAATGACCAACAATACTAGAATGTACAGCATTAAGAGGTACTAAATACAGAGAAGGAGGGCAGTCAAAAGGCATACAATGACACATACATATGTCACATTTATGAGCAGTAAATGTGTGCTGCTTAAAAAAAATTGCAAATACACCAGCCAACATGTCATCTGAAGGATGCATATTTTATTAGCTCAAATGTTTCACTGCCAAACTTTAAAAAAAAAAAATTAAAAACACTGCTATTTATTGCCTGTATTTACCACATTTGCGGTGTAGGCAGGTAGGGTTTAAAAAAAATGTTTTTAAGCCTGAGGATTTAGGGCTGCATGGCATCTTTCAACTCTGACAGAAAAAAGATGGCATCACACTTACAGCACAAATTCTGCAGCTCACAGGAAAGGCAGGATGAACTACAGCTGGCACCATTAGCACTGGAACCTAGTGCAGTACTGACTGCTGAAGATTCAGACAGAGCATTTATGAGACTGTCCCCAGTGCTGTGATGACGGTTCTTAACTCTGACAGTATGTGATGACGGTTCTTAACTCTGATAGTATGTGATGATGGTTCTTAACTCTGACAGTATGTGATGATGGTTCTTAACTCTGACAGTATGTGATGATGGTTTTTAACTCTGACAGTATGTGATGATGGTTCTTAACTCTGACAGTATGTGATGATGGTTCTTAACTCTGATAGTATGTGATGACGGTTCTTAACTCTGACAGTATGTGATGATGGTTCTTAACTCTGACAGTATGTGATGATGGTTCTTAACTCTGACAGTATGTGATGATGGTTCTTAACTCTGATAGTATGTGATGATGGTTCTTAACTCTGACAGTATGTGATGATGGTTCTTAACTCTGATAGTATGTGATGATGGTTCTTAACTCTGACAGTATGTGATGATGTTTCTTAACTCTGATAGTATGTGATGACGGTTCTTAACTCTGACAGTATGTGATGATGGTTCTTAACTCTGACAGTATGTGATGATGGTTTTTAACTCTGACAGTATGTGATGATGGTTCTTAACTCTGACAGTATGTGATGATGGTTCTTAACTCTGATAGTATGTGATGACGGTTCTTAACTCTGACAGTATGTGATGATGGTTCTTAACTCTGACAGTATGTGATGATGGTTCTTAACTCTGACAGTATGTGATGATGGTTCTTAACTCTGATAGTATGTGATGATGGTTCTTAACTCTGACAGTATGTGATGACGGTTCTTAACTCTGATAGTATGTGATGATGGTTCTTAACTCTGACAGTATGTGATGACGGTTCTTAACTCTGATAGTATGTGATGACGGTTCTTAACTCTGACAGTATGTGATGATGGTTCTTAACTCTGATAGTATGTGATGACGGTTCTTAACTCTGACAGTATGTGATGATGGTTCTTAACTCTGACAGTATGTGATGACGGTTCTTAACTCTGATAGTATGTGATGATGGTTCTTAACTCTGACAGTATGTGATGACGGTTCTTAACTCTGATAGTATGTGATGATGGTTCTTAACTCTGACAGTATGTGATGACGGTTCTTAACTCTGATAGTATGTGATGATGGTTCTTAACTCTGATAGTATGTGATGATGGTTCTTAACTCTGATAGTATGTGATGATGGTTCTCAACTCTGACAGTATGTGCTGATGGTTCTTAACTCTGACAGTATGTGATGATGGTTCTTAACTCTGACAGTATGTGATGACAGTTCTTAACTCTGATAGTATGTGATGATGGTTCTTAACTCTGATAGTATGTGATGATGGTTCTTAACTCTGATAGTATGTGATGATGGTTCTCAACTCTGACAGTATGTGCTGATGGTTCTGAACTCTGACAGTATGTGCTGATGGTTCTTAACTCTGACAGTATGTGATGATGGTTCTTAACTCTGACAGTATGCAATGATGGTTCTTAACTCTGATAGTATGTGATGATGTTTCTTAACTCTGATAGTATGTGATGATGGTTCTTAACTCTGACAGTATGTGATGATGGTTCTTAACTCTGACAGTATGTGATGATGGTTCTTAACTCTGACAGTATGTGATGATGGTTCTTAACTCTGATAGTATGTGATGACGGTTCTTAACTCTGATAGTATGTGATGATGGTTCTTAACTCTGATAGTATGTGCTGATGGTTCTTAACTCTGACAGTATGTGATGATGGTTCTTAACTCTGACAGTATGTGATGATGGTTCTTAACTCTGACAGTATGTGATGATGGTTCTTAACTCTGATAGTATGTGATGATGGTTCTTAACTCTGATAGTATGTGATGATGGTTCTTAACTCTGATAGTATGTGATGAAGAGTTCAGGGCAATATATTTCAAAGCTTTCATAGTGAATCTGTGGCTAGCAAACTTTTGCAGAAATGCTCATGTGTAGTCACGTGGTTCTCATTTGTGAGCATCTCTGCATCACTATGTACTTCAATAAGTGTGGTGACATGCACAAAATGAGAGTAGAAGAAAAGACAAAGAACCATTGCCGCTCAGGCATATTCTGTAAATCAATATTTGTACAGACTAATCCGTGCTTGACGGCTGATGTGGTAAACATACCATCGGCCATCTTGATTTCCTTGTTCATTTTCTGGTACTTATTTAAAGCTGAGTTGACTGTGGTATTATAGGTTAATAAAAACATCTATCTTGATAAGGATTCAAATCGTAGATCTTCAGGATGGCAGGCAGGCATATGTAATGTTGTGAATTCCTGGGAAAATTCCAGAGGGTTCCCGATCGGGAGACAAGGTCAGAGGACCAGTGAAACAAAAGGAAAGCAAGATAAGCAGGTCTCGAGTATCCCGTGGTAAGTGAATAGGGATACAAGGAAAGCGCGAGACTTGAACGGAAGGTGTGAACCCAGAGAGGGTAGGAAGTTAGTTACAGTTTGGACCTGGATGTGTGTGGTCGAATGCGAGAGAACAACTGAGAAGAATGCAAACCGCCTGACCATGTGTATTTGTTAGAGAGCAGAAATTAATGTTTACTGACTGAAAGTTTTGATTGTGTATGGGTACAGGGTATAATAGGAGAGCCTGATCTTGATGTATGATCCGAAAGGTAATGGGAGAGAAAATCACAGTGTGAGATAGTTGGCAATGTCATCAGGAATCAGCCATGCGTAGCAACCACGAGAACACAAGGAAGCACATGGACAGTGCAGTTGTTGCAACAGCAAATAAAGATCAATAACTGAGTTTTCCTCGTCTGGTGTATTCTTAGTAACTGTGTGTAAGAACGTCAATATAGCAATGTGATGAGTTAAATTAAACCCCTACCAAGGCCACATTGCAGCATATAGAATTTACCAGTAACCATCTCTTAATGAAATATAAACATTCTAAGAGACAAAAGAACTCATGCACCAAAACAGCAGAAACTTTTAAATAATAAAGTTTTACATTCAGGTCTAGCAAAGACTGCACATGTCACCATTTCTGGTGTATGCTGGCAGAGTTTTCATAATGACTGATTTTATAATGGTCATATTTTGTAGCCGTAGCAACTTTTTGTTCAGGAATAAAATTCTTCTACCAGTTACGAACATTCTGTCTGTTTTACTACTCTAAGCACCTGATTCCAGAGATCTTTCAGTATAGTTTTTAAAAGAGTGTTAGATCTTTTAATGTAGCTGAACTATCTCAGTTATGTCATTTGTATTTCTTTCAGCAACCCTTTTCATTTCCAATCTTTTGAGAACCTCTGTATTTGATTATTTTTGTTTCCATGAAACATGACCAATTCTTCTGAATAATCTCTAGAGATTCAATTCAATTTTCTAGTTAACTGCACATTGTTCAGGTTTCAGCACCAGCAGAGTTGAGTGAATCATATTTTCAGTCATATAGAGAGTAAAACATGGCTACCGATGACTGGCTTCAAAATATTGTTTAGGGTCCACCGTTTCTAAATCTTGAAGTGTACTGGATATATGCTGTTTGCTTTTTATTTGTGTAGACCACATGATACTTGGGTGATGTGATTGAATATCATGCTAGCTACCTTTTCTTTCCAGAACTGTGCACCTTGTCTTATTTTAGGATGGGTCAACAAGGGACGCAGGTCAATTCTAACATTCTGCACCTGTGGGCATTTGTGTAACTGCTACAGAGTTGGCAGGCAGGTGTTCCTGATCAGATGGATATTTTATGCAACAACTGCAAAACAAAATGTCACTGAACAAACCGACACGAACAGAGATGCAACAATGCTCGATATTCAGGCAGAGAGCATCTTTAAAAAGTCCTCATCCCACTGAAATATCAGAAAATTGGCGCAAGACCACATTGTTTTTTTTAAGACCAGTTGATGCTAGATAGCTGATGTGGTAAAAAACATATGGGCCACCACAATAGATAGCTAATGTGGTAAACAACATGCGGGCCACCACAATAGATAGCTAATGTGGTAAACAACATGCGGGCCACCACAATAGATAGCTAATGTGGTAAACAACATGCGGGCCACCACAATAGATAGCTAATATGGTAAACAACATGCGGGCCACCTGTTTTGCAGGATACTTCCCCCCATTACAGATTTGAAACCAAGACCTTGCCGACAGGTAAGTGAGAATGTATCTTACTCTTAGATAAATCAGCCTCTCCTGGAGAGGCCAGTGCCAACTGTAGCTGCTGCTCTGCTGCACGTGTTGCTGCTTCTTTTTTCTGCTTGTCCCTTACAGCTTTCTTCTTTTTCGTGTCTTCAAGAGCGTCCAGCCACTGGCGCTGTAATAAGAAAGCCTCCATAAATTCTACTAAATAATGATCAGGATAAAAAGCAGTTTAAAAAACAAAAACAAAAACTCCTTTTTAAGTTGACTTCTCAACTGGACTCAGGTGGAGTGGTTGTGAGGGCATTTCATCCCAATTTGAGAACTACTGTGTACTTCTAAATGATAAGTCAAAAGGTACATTGCATACATTATGCATTTCCTTGCACACGTTATACAATTCCCTGAACACATTATATATGCCCCTGTACACATTATACATGTCTCGGCCCACATTATATATGTCTTGGCCTACATTAAATGTCCCGGCACACATTATACATGCCCCTGCACACATTATACATGCCCCTGCACAGATTATACATGTCTCGGCCCACATTATATATGTCTCGGCACACATTATATGTCTCGGCACACATTATATGTCTCGGCACACATTATATGTCTCGGCCTACATTATATGTCTCGGCCTACATTATATGTCTCGGCACACATTATACACGCCCCTGCACACATTATACATGCCCCTGCACACATTATACATGCCCCTGCACAGATTATATATGTCCCTGCACAGATTATATATGCCCCTGCACAGATTATATATGTCCCTGCACACATTATATATGTCTCAGCACACATTATATATGTCCCTGCACAGATTATATATGCCCCTGCACAGATTATATATGCCCCTGCACAGATTATATATGCCCCTGCACAGATTATATATGCCCCTGCACAGATTATATATGTCCCTGCACAGATTATATATGTCCCTGCACAGATTATATATGCCCCTGCACAGATTATATATGTCCCTGCACAGATTATATATGTCCCTGCACAGATTATATATGTCCCTGCACACATTATATATGTCTCGGCACACATTATATATGTCCCGGCACACATTATATATGTCCCTGCACAGATTATATATGTCCCTGCACAGATTATATATGTCCCTGCACAGATTATATATGCCCCTGCACAGATTATATATGTCCCTGCACAGATTATATATGTCCCTGCACAGATTATATATGTCCCTGCACAGATTATATATGTCCCTGCACAGATTATATATGTCCCTGCACAGATTATATATGTCCCTGCACAGATTATATATGTCCCTGCACAGATTATATATGCCCCTGCACAGATTATATATGCCCCTGCACAGATTATATATGTCCCTGCACAGATTATATATGTCCCTGCACAGATTATATATGTCCCTGCACACATTATATATGTCCCTGCACACATTATATATGTCCCTGCACAGATTATATATGTCCCTGCACAGATTATATATGTCCCTGCTCAGATTATATATGCCCCTGCACAGATTATATATGTCCCTGCACAGATTATATATGTCCCTGCTCAGATTATATATGCCCCTGCACAGATTATATATGTCCCTGCACACATTATATATGTCTTGGCACACATTATATATGTCCCTGCACACAAATACATTTCCCTGCAAAACGTTATACATGGGATTCATTACTATTCATCAGCCTAGTCTGTACAGTGTTGATGACATCCGCTCTGTCCATGCATCTTCCCACTTGCAGATCCAGCTACATAAAATTTGGTACCAGACTATTGTCCAGGACGTGTCTTCCAGAAGGAAGGGTGAGGATGAAAGGAAGGGTGAGGATGGAAGGAAGGGTGAGGATGGAAGGAAGGGTGAGGATGGAAGGAAGGGTGAGGATGGAAGGAAGGGTGAGGATGGAAGGAAGGGTGAGGATGGAAGGAAGGGTGAGGATGGAAGGAAGGATGAGGATGGAAGGAAGGGTGAGGATGGAAGGAAGGGTGAGGATGGAAGGAAGGGTGAGGATGGAAGGAAGGATGAGGATGGAAGGAAGGGTGAGGATGGAAGGAAGGGTGAGGATGGAAGGAAGGGTGAGGATGGAAGGAAGGATGAGGATGGTAGGAAGGGTGAGGATGAAAGAAACTGGTCATTTAATGGACCTAAAATACTCATAAAATAATTAACTAACCTTAGCTTTTGCTGTATAACTAACCTTAATTTTTTTCTGTATAACCAATCTTAGCTAAGGCTGTATAATCCACCTTAGCATTTGCTGTATAATCAATCTTTCTTTTGCTGAATAACCAACTTTATCTTTACCTGTATCACTAACCTTTTCTTTTGCTGTATAACCAACTTTATCTTTTGTTGTATCACTAACCTTATCTCTGGTTGTATAACCAACCTTATCTTTTGGTGTATCACTAACCTTGTATTTTGCTGTATAAACAATTTTAGCTTTTGCTGTATTACTAACCTTAGCTTTTGCTGTATCCGTCTGATACAAGTGGGACTCTGGAAACATGAGAATTGTGAAGCCATTTTTCACTGGCCCTGTGTCCCTGACATTGACAACTGCCAAACTGTCCAGTTCGTACAGACCTTGGAAACGGTAACGCATGGGGCCTCGTCTGGTGAATAAACAAACCCAGTTAGATTCATGACAGCAAACATCAAGATCTGAGTTAAAACTCAACATGTTTAACAATATGGGGAAGACAAGGAGGCACTGTTTGTAACAGCACATAAAGAGGCATGACAGGAAAGTCATATACACAGAACTTAAGAACCCTAACAATCAGCATCCTCAGATTAGTGAGGACTATTATCACAGCACTCCAGATCCATCACAAGTTGCTCTGATCTCCTCCTCAAAAGCTCCATAAATGTAAAATGACTGAAACATCTGTGCTGTGTTGATTAATTAAACGTCTTGTCCCCTTGGTTAAATGCTAATTTCTTGCAGCTCCAGGTTACACCCCCTTCCATCAGCCTTGACAGGGATACAGAATCATGACCTTTGCCATCCTGGTCTTTGCAGTAAGTGCTGTGCATGGCATTGTTAACATTGCCACTGTCCAGTACTGGACCAGCCATAGCAACTGCAATCTTCAAGAAAATCTGCACACTTGTGGCCTCAAACACCTGCATATCATGGCACAATAATGAAGGTTAGGCAAGACATTCATAAAGTGCTTAGCACTGCAATTAATTCATGTCTCTTGAACCCATCATCTTCTTCTTCTGCTTTTCTCTACTCCTGGAATGCTTCGCTGCATCAGGGGAAGAAGAGATCTCTAGAACAGGCCTTTCTGTTCGCTTCGTATATAGTACTTTTCAGTAGCTCTGATATTTCTGTGGTCCACATTCTGCGTGGTCGACTTTTGGGTCTGTTACCGATGTATCTGTATAACATTGCTCTCTGTGGTGCCCTGTTTGCTGCCAATTTTGTCAAATGACCAAACCTCAAAGTTCAGTATTGGTTCTGTTCTGATTCTCCTTCTGATGTTCCTGAGTCGATCTTTCCTCGTTACACCTAGCATAATAAGTAAATATTTCATTTCTGTCATGACTATTTTCCTTCTGTCTTCTGAAGACAGTGTCCATGTCTGACATTGATAGCACAGCATTGGTAAGAATATTGTGTTAAACAGTGCTGTTTTAGTGTTCATATTCACATGCTTGCATTTTAAAATTGGTGCCCTTTGCCCTACTGGCTTTATTGCATCTTTGTTGGATTTCTTTGTTCATTCTTCCATCTTCTGAAAAAATGCTCGCTAGATATGTAAAATCCTTCGCCTGCTTTAACTGGAGTTCACCAATTTTGGCATTGGTAGTTCTTTCTTTTCTGGAGAATGTCATCACTTCTGTTTTGTCTACACTGATCTTCGTATCGTAGTTGTCGCATTCTTAGTGTAGTCTATTAATTTGTTCTTGTAGTTGTACTGCTATTTGTGTTATGATTGCCTGGTCATTGGCGAAAAGCAGTTCATTTAGTAATTCTCTGATGTTGTTGCCTTCGTTGATGTTAGCTGATTTGCAAATTCGGTCAATGTATGTGATGAACAGTAGTGGGAATAGAAGGCACTCCAGATCTAATGTAAAACCTTTTCTGACATTCCTGATTTTGTTCTAACTGCACATTGACTGTTCACGTATAAACTCTTGGACAATCTTCTTCTTCTTCGCACAGTTTTCATAAGATGTTCGTTTACTCCATAATCCTGAAGTACTTTCCATAGCTTATTCCTATTAACTTGATTGAAAGCTTTCTCCTGATCAACGAATGTGTCGTGTAATTCTTTATCGAATCGTACCGTCCTTTCCACTAATTGTCTAAGTGTGAATATTGCATCAGCACACCTTCTATTCTTCCGAAACCCTATTCTTCCGAAACCCCATTTGTCCTTCACTAAGTTGTGGTTCGATGATAGGATGTAGCTTTTTTTCAAGGATTTACAAAATATTTTCCAGGTGTGGCTCAATAAAGAAACTCCTCTATACTTCTCACAGTCTCCCTTGCTGACTTTCTTCTTCCAGGTGGGTACTATGTGTTTCTCCAGACTCCGGTGCCTCTTGTGTTGTCCAAAGTAGGTTGTACAGTCTGTGCATCCACTTTACTCATACACAGTTTTTCAGAGGCAAACAGTATCATAATCTCAGATTTCTCATAACAACTTTATAATAATTAATGGTGGCTAGATGCTTGCCTACCGACCCAAAAGTCTCAGACTCAAATTTACACTGAGGCGTTTAAAACTGACTTGGGTTCCCAGTGAAAGAATACTGGGAAATGGCCTCAGAAGTTCAGGTGGCTGGAATGATGCTGACCATGTCACCCATTGAGTGCCATGTGGACAAACATCCTTTGCCTGATGTGCCAGTGGCATAAAAAGACTCCAGCACTTGTTTCTTACAATAATGTTTAGTAAAAGTCTGAGAAAGAATAAGAAAGAGCAGAAAAAGCAGAAAGAGAGGGAAGAGGAGAAGAATGACACTAAGACAAAGCAGAAGTTGGTGGAAAAGTAAATTAAGAGGTCAAAAACAGGAAATACAAGAAGGTGAAGTTATACTGCCTCATGTGTTTTTTTCTCTTAATCTAACTGGAAACAGAAACAAGATACCAACGAGCCAGTGCACCTATATACCAACTGATACCGTTATTAAGACATCCAAACATAAGTAGAAACCAGTGTCAAATAGGACACTATCATAGGTTAATCTCGCAAATTCCCACTTGTAAAGTGGGATGTCTGAAAAAAAGACACTAACTTAACCAACCAAGACAAAGTGAGAAATTATACTAACAGACAGAGTGTGGGAAAAACACTTTGTACCCAATTCATTGAGAAACAATTAAAATGGTTTGGTCATCTCATTAGAATGCAGCAGAACAACTACCAACACAGGCCTACACATAAAAAGATCTAATGTGAATGCAATAGGTAACCTTAGGAGAGTACAGACTGAAGATATTAAAAATCATCTACATCAACAGGGAGTGACAGTAGCAATCACTACTTATCAAGTAATGAATCACAAATTGTCCTCTCTACAACAACTAATGATAAAAGTGGATGATGATGTGGGTGTGCAGTCACATTTACCTGTGTGGTATCCAGGTAGCAATCATCAAACTATCACTGAGGAGGAATGCATGAACCCTTTGGATGTGGACATGACTCTCCATGTCCAACTCAATGAGGTCACCATCATGGACAAGCTGCCGACCTGGCACGTCTGCAACACTCTACAAAAATAGCCAAATAATTACAAATATTCAATCATTTTCCAAAAACCTGAGACGCTACAAACCCAGCATTTCCGTCTGCTACTAATCTGTGAAAAGTCGCTTGACTGGCATTCCTGCATTGATCAGTCCCTGAGAAGTTTATTTAACAGCATTGGTTCTGTTTGTGCCTGGCCAGTGTTGAGGAGGACTGGGGTATGATTATATTTACTGAAAATATGATTGGTTTGGTTACTGAGGGGACACAACAATTGCTTTTTTCTTCTTTCCAAGATGACATCATCTTAGCTTTTAGTAACTAAGGTCATGAGGTCACAGTATGAGTTATGATATGAATTACTGATTTAAGACCCTTAAGACTATATTATTAATTTCTCTGCTCCAACTGTGTTTACTGATTAGTTCCCATCCTTTATTCCTTGAAAAATTTATATATTTTAAAATATGTGTGTGTGTGTGTGTGCGTGTGTGTGTGAGAGAGAGAGAGAGAGAGAGAGAGAGAGAGAGAGAGGGGGGGGGGGCGTGTGTGCTTCTTCTTCTTCTTCTTCTTTCGTTCGCCTGAAATAAGTTGTCTATATCAGCAGTTTTGTCTCTTGTATACATTTCATTGTCGTTGTTAGTTCATTCAGTGGTCCATAGAGTTTACGTTCCACTGTTGTTCTTTCTGGCCAAAAGGTTTGCCTTAATGTGTCAAAATCGGTGCAGTCCTCGAGTACATGCTCTGCTGTCTGGGGCACATTTCCACAGGTGCACATGGCTGATACACCTATCTTGAATTTTGTGTACATGTGGTTACGTAATCGGTTGTGCCCTGTTCTGAGGCGGAGGATAATGACTTGTTCTGGTCTGTCCATAATAAAATAGTCGTCTTGTGCTGGGGCTGGTGGTTTCCTGATCGATTTAATGATTCTTTTCTTTTGGTGGTATGTGACTGGTACATCTGGCTGCTCTTTTGTCGCACCTTTCCCTGCCAGTTGATCAGCTTTCTCATTTCCAGGCACTCCACAATGAGACGGTATCCACTGCATTACGACTCTTCGCTGAACGCTGAGTTGTGTCAGCAGTGTTTGCAATTCTGGTAGTTTCCTAGACTGGAGTGCTTCAAGTACTGATTTAGCATCTGTCAGCATTACCACATAAGGTTGGTATTTAGCAGTTTCTTGATAGAATAGGTTTCTGCATCGTAGTTATGGCAGTACTTCCCGGTTGGTACGCTGGACTTATCCCTAGTACAATCTGGGAATTCGATGTACACTCCAGCACCACCATTTCTAACTGAACTTTCTGCGGACCCATCTGTACAGATTCTGACCCATTGTTCTTGTGGGTATTCTTCATCAATATAACTGAGGGTGGCCATTTTGCGTTGTACACTATCTTGCTCTTTCTTGTCAAATATCCCTTTCACATTTGTCTGGATTTGTACCGCTAGTTTACATTTTTCTCTCCATGGGGTTTGTTCCGGAATACTTTTAAGTGGGCAGCCAATTTCTGGAAGGTCAGGAGTTTGTCTACATATTCTTTTTGCTTGGTGTATAAAGCTGCTACTTTTTAACCGTCCCAAGGCTAGGTTCTTAAATCTATTTTCCATCGGGTGATCTGGCATACTGAGGAACTTTTCAGCTTGTATTTGCAACTTTGTATCTCTGCGTTCTCTCAGTGCCTGTGTTTTCCCAGCTTTCTCCATTTCTAATATGGGGGTTGATTTCATCCCTCCTGTGATGACTCTGAGCGCTTGATTTTGCACTTTGTCTAACTCCTTTAATGTGGTACTAGACGCTGAACACCATGCAGTTGACCCATATTCCAAGTGTGGTTGTATGCTCTGCTTGTATACTTTATTGAGTATTTTCCCATCTGCTCCCCATGTGGTTCCACTTAGTTTTCTTAGTATTGCTGTCTTCCTCCTGGCTTTGGTTGCTGCCTTGTTGATATGTTTTCTCCATGTCAACCTGTCGTCAAATGTGACTCCTAGGTATGTGGGCTCTTTATCATCTCTCAGGGGTATTCCGTTTATTTTGATGGTGCCGGCTTTTTGCTTTGGGGAGAGGGTGAATAGTGTGGTGCTACATTTGTCTGTGTTGATGCTGACACACCATCTATTGGCCCATGCCTCAAGTGCATTTGTAGCCCGCTGTAGTGTTTTTGTGGCTATCGTTGCATGTTCATTGGTGCACCACAGTACCAGGTCGTCGGCATACATTGCCATTTTGATTCCATTTGGTATCTCAGCAACCAGATCGTTGATGAATAAAAGGAAAAGTGTGGGCGACAGGACACCACTTTGAGGGACGCCTTGTCGCAGTAGAACTTTTTTACTTTTAAAACCATCTACCTGTACCCGGGCTCTTCTGTTATGTAGATATGCTTTAATCCAATTGTACATTTTTCCATTTATTTTATAGTTTCTCAATTTCTTCAAAAGCCCCTCCTTCCAAACCTTATCAAAAGTTTTCCTTAAATCTATCCATGCCGCGAGTACCAGTTTCTTATCTTGAAAAGCATCCTCTATTTCTTGGGAGAGGTATTTTGTCTGGTCTTCCGTAGAGTAGAACTTTCTAAAGTCCGCCTGCTGTGGTGTAATGATGTTTTCACTTTCAATGTACCACTGTAGTCTGAGGTTGGTGATGCGCTCCATTGTTTTACAGAGACAACTTGTGAGGCTGATCGGTCTGTAGTTGGAGGCATTAGAACTGTCTTTCCCAGGCTTTATGAGGGGTATCATAATTGCCTCTCTCCAGATCTGTGGAACATTCCCTGTTGCCCAGCAAGCATTAAATATCTGTAAAAGCTTTGTTTTGGCTACTTTTCCTAAGTGTCTGATCATTTCGTTTGATATACCATCTGCTCCTGGTGACTTCTGCATTTTCAGCTTTGAAATGGCCATCTCCAGTTCATTAAGTGTAATTGGCACCTCTAGCGCCTCTGATGTTATTTCTTTCTGACTTCTAAATTTTGTCTTTTCTTGAATTTCGTGTTTTTTCTCTGAACTGATTTCAATGTCGTTATCTAAATCAAAAGTGTCCGCAAATAGGTTAGCTGCCTCTTTTCCTGTGACCACGTTTCCATTTTTCTGCAGCGTGATCTTTGAGTTCCACCCTGTGTCCTCATCATTAATTTGTTTCACAAGCTTTCATAACTTTCTTGTGTCTTTTTCAAAGTTCAGCGACCTTGTTTTCTCCTGCCAGCTTTCCCTTCTAACCTGCAGCTTTGCCATTACAAATTTTGCTTTTGCATGCTGGTAGTTATTGTGATGTTCTTGGTTTGGCCTGTTCTCTGCCAACTTTCTGGATGTTTCTACTTCGTTATGTAAATTTTCTAGCTCATTACTCCAGTATGGCTTAAAATGCTTACGGGCACCTCTTGGTATTGATTCTCCTGCTGCCTTTAGTACCCATTTGTTAAATTCTTTAACTACTTTGTTTATATCCTGGTCTACGCTGAGACTTCCAAGCAGTATACTGGTACGGTGCTTGAACATTGTCCAGTCAGCCTTCTTGTAGTTCCACCTTGGCAGCGTACTAGTTTCTCTGACCTTCTCATTTTCTACATTCAGGAAGACCGGTCGATGGTCACTGCCTTCCAGTTGATTTCCAACAACTCGTTTAATGTTCCATTCCAGATCTGGAGAGTGAAATGCTAGGTCTGGGGTAGTAGTGGTGTGCCACGACCTCGAGTAGAATGTGGGTGGATCAGTTGGCCTATTAATCAGAACAAGTCTGTTCTCATCCTGCCACTCCTCCAGTTTCTCTCCTCTCTGGTCTATATGGTCGTATCCCCAGCTTTGTGAGTGGCTGTTAAAGTCTCCACATAGAATCATCTTTTCTTCCACTGGGATTGTGTCTAAAGCCTGGGGACGATCACTTGGGCAGTAATAATTGATCAGGTAGAAGTCTGCATTTCCAGTTTGTAGTTTCAGAATCTGATATTCTGCCCCATCCATATATACTCCAGTCTGGCACGCAGTGATATTGTTCCTCACAAGAGTCAATATTCCACCCTTTTTCAGGGGTCCTAATGGAGCAATGGTGCGCAATACAAGACTCTTAATGTCTATTAGCCTCTCTTGCTCAAGCCTACCTCACCTTTACGTGGTGGACCCTGTTCTTCCCAGCAATCCAGTTGAAGGTTGGGGTCTCAACCCCCAGCGGGAAACTGGATGGGACAACAAACGAGGTAAAGGCGAAAGACGAATGGATGAGCCTACTCTCCTCGAGTATGATCACAGTCTACCCTAGCAAAACAAGGTGCTGAAGTCGGAGGCAACCAGCCAAGAGGCGTACCACAGCAATCAGGATGCCACGCATACACGCCATGGAAATATGTGCTTGTTCAAAATACTTTTTTTTAAATTCCCTGGTCCATGGCTCCACCGGGCTTCTGGAGTGAAAGAGTTCATTCAAAAAATTTGACAAATTATGATGACCATCATAAAATGTCTGCCAACAGTCACGTCTGATCATGTTTTTGAACAGTTCCTTTTCTACAGGAGAATGTATCTACTTAGGTGCTGATACAGCCCATGTCACAATGAAGGCCTTTCTTTTGCTGCCGTCTTCCATCTCTTGCTAAGTTAACATGATCAGTTCAACAGTAAAATCTGGCACAGGTGAGCGGATCAACACTACTACAACAAGTTTAATTTCATGTAGCCAAGTCTTTTTGTGTAGAGCCACCTACAAACTCTGTAGCTCTAGTGATGATTCCCAAAGATCTCTTTAAAAAAATACTACACTCCTTTATTCGTATGAGACATGAAATGACTTAATATTTCTTGACTTTGCCAACAATGTATGGTTCCTGTTTGTTATCACATACACAGAATGGGAGTAAGAGTGAGAGTTAAAGAGAGAGAGAGAGAGAGAGAGAGAGAGAGAGAGAGCAAGAGAGAGAGAGAGAGAGAGAGAGAGAGGGAGGGAGAGAGAGAGAGAGGGAGGGAGAGAGAGGGAGGGAGAGAGAGGGAGGGAGGGAGTGAGAGAGAGACTGAAATGAGAGAAAGGGAACAAAGACATAATGTGTCATTTTATAAAGGTGTTTATGTAGAAATCACTTTTTATTTTAACAAGAGAATGGTGATTCCATATCACTGAAGATCCTTTGGATTTATGAGGCATGATAACAGGTTATTTAAACATGTTGGGAAATGTGTCCCTCCACCCCTAAAAAACCTTATGTGGGCAATGAAAAGAACTCTGTGCTCAACTTTTTTCTAACGATACTCTCTTGCTGCAACAAACATCCACACACTAACGGTTGAAAGAGCACATCAGTGCCATTATCCTGATAACATAATGCTTCTTTTTAAAAAAATGTTTATAAGGACATACTTGTTTTTATTATTGCTGAACATATTTTATAAATTAAAATATATGGTGCTCAATAAAACTGTATGAACAAAGCAAGTAACAAATAAAACTGTACACTTACAGAACAGCCCTCCACCTTCTCCAGCAGAAACGCCAAGTTACGTCTGGTTTCCTCCTCTGGACTTTCTTTTTCTTCTTCCTTCTGTGGGCCTTGAACCATGGCTAACAGAAGAAATATAAAGCAACAGCAATTGTTACAATTAGTAGAATTATTTTGGAAAGATTAAAAGATGCTATTGATAAAATGCTAAGAGATGAGCAGGCAGGTTTTCGGTCAAACAGATCCTGTACTGATCAGATAGCCACATTACGTATTATAATAGAGCAAAGCATTGAACTGAACTCACCATTTTACATTGGATTTATAGACTATGAAAAAGCATTTGACAGCATTGATAGGGAATCTCTCTGGAAATTGATGGGGCACTATGGAATCCCACAGAAAATTATCAACTTAGTAAAGGCAACATATAAAGACATGAAATGTCGAGTTCTTCATGAGGGAAAGCTAACAGATGCATTTGAAAAAAAAAACAGGTGTGCGACAGGGATGTCTTTTGTCGATTCTCTTATTTTTACTGGCCATAGACTGGACTATGAAAACAGTAACTGCTAACACCAAGAATGGAATTCAGTGGACCCCTACAAAACAGCTTGATGATCTGGACTTCGCTGATGATATTGCTCTTCTGTCCCATTCACGGAATCAGATACAAGATAAATTAAAAATACTTAATGCGAGATCACAGCAGCTTGGTCTGAAAATCCATAAAGGAAAGACAAAAATAATGAGAATAAATCAGGCAAATAGTAATGTGGTTTCTCTTAATGGCACCCCACTCCAAGACGTGGAGTCATACACCTATTTAGGCAGTAATGTAGATAAAGATAGAGGAACTGATAGAGATATTAAAATAAAAATACAAAAGGCAAGAGGGGCTTTCATAGCACTAGGGAATTTGTGGAGGTCAAAAGAAATTAAAAGAAATACTAAACTAAAAATTTTTAATTCTAATGTCAAATCAGTACTATTGTATGGGGCGGAAACATGGAGAACAACCAAGGCAATTACTAATAAATTACAGACATTCATTAACTGGTGCCTGCGCAGAATAGAGGGAATAAAATGGTATGATAGAATAACTAATGTAGAACTTTGGGAGAGAACTAAACAGGCTCCAGTGGATCAGGAGGTGAGGAAAAGACGCTGGCGTTGGGTAGGGCACAGACTGAGAAAACAGGAGAACAGCATAACTAGAATGTCTTTGCATTGGAACCCACAGGGGCATAGGAATAAAGGAAGGCCAAAAAAAACACATGGAGAAGAGAGCTGGAGAATGAGGTTAGAAAGATTGGGAGGACATGGGAAGAGCTCCATGCAATGGCGAAGGATAGAACGACTTGGCGTGAGTTGGTTGAGGGCCTATGCTCCATTGGGGGATAGAAAGGCAGAAGAAGAAGAAGAATTGTTACAATTAGAAAACAAGTTAAACAATAAATCAATTTTTAAAAACCCAGCTTAATCATCTTTCTTGTTGATTAATATACCCTAACAAGCTACAAAGTGAAGCAATCAATTATGTCCATACCAAAACTAATAACAAACTATATTTTAACAATACTAGGTTTTAACAGGGAATTAAAATTTGAATCTTAAAAGTGTGATTGAAATTACAGTAACTATGCCGTTGTCTTGTAGCTTGTCAATACTGTTATTAAGAATGCCAAGAGTGTAAAGCAGGTGACATCATAATGCAGTCAAATAGGGTGATTTCATAATGGCAGTTAAAAAAAAAAACAGCCCTAATTTTGACATGCATAATATCTTTTCTGCCTGTTCCATCCCTTGAGCTGTACTGGGCATATGGTGCTAAACCCATATTTCTATAGACCAATCAGGACGTGGAGGGAGAAAATGGGAAAGGGGGAGGCGGGTAATATTAGGCAAGCTGCTTTTTCCCCAGAACATTTTCTGATCAGGAAGAAAAATCAGAGCTTTTATCTTCAAGTGCTACATACAAATTATTCAAATGCCATAGATCAAGAAGAAGAATAATGAGATACTTCAAGATCAGAACATCAAAGAAAACTGGCCAATAAACAGCATCATGTCTCAGAAACTGACATTCTTTGACCACAGTCAACAGTGAGTTTGAAAAAGAAAAAGAAATTGAATAGAAAGTATAGTTCCTGGAAAAAGAGGCAAGAGCTGACCAGCACAGAAATTAACTCAGAATATGAAGAAACTTACTGGGTATGAAACTAAATGAGGCAGGGGAACTGTTACAGAACTGTCTCTTTTTAGCAGGCTGTGATGGAAATGATGTTCATCAAAGACTCTCAATATGATGATGACAGTAGTATCACATACTGAGTCACCTTGAGCTAACTACCAATGGACTAGATTTTCACACACACATACACACACACACAAAATAGTACAGAATCCTGACCTTTATCACTGACCAGAGACATTTCCATCAGTGAACTCATCAGTGACTTCTGATCACACAACATATGGCTCAGCTGGTACATTTCTCCCTCCAAAACTGTCAAACAAGGATTTATCATTATTATCATGAGAACAAAGGAATGCAACCAAGGAATCACACGGGCCATCTTTACCTCCCAGGACCTTGCCTGGTACCTATTTTAGGTGGCACTGACCTGGAATCCAAAGTCAATTTTCAAATAAAAAAACCCCACTATGATGAAGATTTGAACCCAAGGGCTGGCAGACCAAACAAGGTGTGTATGTCAATTGTTAAGAACACAAACAAAGCAGAATTGGCACTAAAGCAAATATACTAATATAAAAACAAAAACATGTTCATCAGTGAATCAAGAACTGACATCACTACACTCAAGACATTCCAACACATGTTCCGTCTCCTAAATCAGTAGTAAACATACACAGATTACCCCTCTGGCCACTCCCAGCTGAATCAATCTGTTGAGGTATGGATATTCTATCTGTTCTGTTGCACTGTCAGCTGATTGCAGAGAGACATCACCATGTCTGCTTTAACCCGGCTGTCTCTTCAACTTCTTTTGTTGTGATGACTCCATTTCAGAAATGTCCAATCCTCTACAGCCATGATTGAAAACCAGTTGGCTGTGCTATCGAGTGGTCTCAAAGCCATCTCAGAGCTGTAGCAACCACCTCCACTTTTGTTTTCATGCTGGAATCGGGTCTGTTTTATTCTGTAGGATGGTTCACCTTCACCTATAGCTCCGAAGCTGCATCCTGACCGCCAGATCCATCAATATACTCTGTTACTTATTCCTTCCAGTGTTTTAATCTTCCTCATCCAACCTCAGTATTCAACATTTAGGCCAACCAGCCATGCAGGATATATGTCGCTTGAGACAATGTATGCATAGGAGAAGCAGTAGAACAAACATACATAGACAAGCAAAGGCAGCAATAAATGTCTGAGAATTATCTCTGCTACATTGTAAATATGTATCAAACCTTGCCACTGCCACAGTCTTAGAGTAAAACTTACTGGATATTTCTCTGGCAGTCTCAATAAACTGAGAATAGTTTTTGTAGACATTTTTCTTCAGTGCCTGGGCTGTTTCATCATTCAACATATGAATCTTTGTTCTCATATCAAGGAGAGCATCTTCACCATCTCCTGACAGCTTAGCTATGACTGCAAGAAAGAGAAACAAATGTGCGACTATCCTCATTTCGTAAAAGACTTTTTTCCCACCTCTGGCACATTGGGCATACATATAATGCTAGACTCAAAGGGTGATTATGATCAACATCCTGCCAACCACCTTTACTTCCCAGGACACTACCTGATACCCCATTTTAGGCTAGGTCAACCTTGCAGCTAAGGTTAGTTGTGACAACAAAAACATCTGCCTTGATGTACATTTGAAACATTTAATCAACTTATATGACAGTCTGATTTTTTGTTCTGTTTTTAGTAACAGTTGAAGAAGATACCAAAGTACACAGAAAGCTAGTAAAAAAGAAGGGGCAAAATAAAATCCTCACTTGCACAGTCGTGGCGACAGCACTAGCCATGCGGCCATAAATCCTCAGGCTCAAAGACCCTCCTGCCTACACCGCAAAAGTGGTAAAATAAAGGCAGTAACTGGCAGTTGGTAGCTACATCTGCTTGGTCTGGTGTCTTCCCTTTATTTGTCATTCCATAACTTATTTGTAGTCTAACCTATGATGTTGTATTTGCCAAACTTCTGTTTTTCTTTGCATGTCATTGCTGTTTTCACTTAGCAAAACAATATCAAAATCAAGATCTCCCAACTGTGTGTTCTCAACCCAGTCAATGCCCGTGATTCCAACACAACATTTTGTCATCACACAGTCAATGCCGGTGATTCCAACACAACATTTTGTCATCACCAAGTCAATGCCGGTGATTCCAACACAACATTTTGTCATCACCAAGTCAATGCCGGTGATTCCAACACAACATTTTGTCATCACCCAGTCAATGCCGGTGATTCCAACACAACATTTTGTCATCACCAAGTCAATGGTTATGACAAATAACAGAGGAGATCAAATGCATTCTCGTTTAACTCCAGTATCAACATCAGACCAATCACTTAAACCATCATCAGTGGAGACATAGGGAGCTGCAGTAAGTACAGCTGAAGACAGCAGACATATAGTGAGACATGATTAAGTAACCCGAATGGAAACAAAGCTACTTGCACAAACTCCTCATATAACAGACAATGAAGCATCAGTGCCATGATGTCCATAACAGCAATGGTTACAAGTAATCATTAAAATAAATGTTTGCATTTATCATTTCTTTAAATTCAATGAATTTGATGCTAGTGAAGGAGGCATCAACAGTACTGGCCAACAATAAACAACACTTTTTAAACATAGGTAAATACAACTACCACTGAATTCTGCCTGCCTAAAGTCATGACAAGCAGCCAACCAGGCTAGGTACTAGTCTTTTATTTCACCCCATATCAGGCTGCGAGATTTAGTAAGGAATTCCTAAGGAGTTTCCTGGACAGACCTATACTATAGGAGAGGGGTTAGAGTTAGTTTATTCTTTGTCTTCTTAGTTTGTTCGCCCAAAACAGATTATCTTTACCTGAATGTTGTCTCTTGGCAACTTCATTGCCTTGAGTAATTCACTTAGCAATCCATATGATTTGGC